CTGTTCAAATGGGCGCTTTCTGGCCGCACTGACGGATTTCCAACCGCTTCTAGCACCGAAACCTGACGAGCTTCGACTTTACTCAAGTCAAGGTCTTGTATCTGTTCCCCTCGTCTCTTGTCGGAGCCGGGCTTGGCTCCGGTCGAGTTCTGTTCACATCCTGCCAGTCCCATTTTGAGAATCTTTTCCGCGCCCTTGCTCCTCTCGTGCGCTCTCAAAAACTCTCTCTTCAGATATGCCTTCTCAAATTCCAACTACAAGGCGGCCTCTCCTCTAGCTTCCCCGTTGTTATTAAAGTCCATATCCCCCTGCACATTGGATTAACACACATCTTGATCTCAACTTCGTCTCTGCATCTCAGGAACTGTCATCACGTACCCAATTTAATCCCCAGTCTTCCCTCACCGTCGCCCACATCAGTTCCCTTGTGTGTGCATTCTAATTGTCCTGCCCCTCATTATTTTATTCCCACCCACGCCAGGTAGGTCACGAAATCGTCGCGACATTGTTCGCTTCCCGATTACAGACAGCCACCGAGACCTCAACGCTCTGCCAACCTTCGTCTCGAAGGCGCGTTTTACTCAATGGAGCCTACCGATTACACCCGGAAATTCAGTTTACTCTAGCCAGCTTTTTAGAGCTGCTGTTTCCCAAACACTGCTTCCTCAACGTCACATGTGGGCATACGGCCACTTCTAGCTATGGATCCAGGACTATCCTCATCCAGCAACGTCTCTCCAGGACCTGGGCCGCAAAGTAATCGAAAAGAGCGCGGTGCCATTGCAGCTCAGGTATGTTATGCTTGATTACCGTGCCATTGAATCAGGCCTCCAATGCTTATACCTGTCGTTCCTGCATCTCTTTCGCTTCATTTCGACCTCTGGAAGTCAATATCAATCTCGGATTCCATTCGTAGCCTACAGTTGCTTTGGGTATCTATGTTATTGACATATCTCCTGTTTTTTCCCCAATTCATGCTATTAATTCGAGTGTTCCACTGCCGAACGAAGTGACTAACAAGACCCAGGCTTGTGAGACGTGCCGCAACCGAAAACAAAGATGTGATGAACAAAGGCCAAAGTGCGGTACATGCCAGAGATTCAAGCTCGAATGTCGATACCGAGAACCCCAACCAACAAAGTATGTTCTTACGAGAGCCTGACGAAGCGGCAAGGATGCAGAGCTTGACCTAAACATGGCGTTGCTGTCGTCGTTGCCTGGGCCGCTATCTAACACAACTGCAATTTGCTAAACTCCGCCCATAGGAAGGATAAAACTCTGGTTGAGATTCTAGACCGACTCAAGACTGTCGAAAGCAAGATTGACAACCTGGGTCAACGGGAAAATACGACTCCTCCCCTCTTCACCACCCCTCAACCTCCAGCCGTTTATTCCACCAGCACGCCGCTACTGGTGGATCCCGAATCCCACGATCATCTTCCAGGCACATCCTTACCCAACCATCCTACAAGCCCTACGCCCAACCGTGACACAGGTGGCTATCGCTATGACTCGTCTGTTTCTAAGCTGTCAGAATGGCCCGTTGTGCGCCAGATGTTCGAAAGCCTCGGCCAGAAGGCCCCATCCGCCTTGGGTGAGATTCCTGCACTTCCTAGAGGACTTCGTGCCTCAACTGTTACTCTACCATCTGATGGACTCCAACCGGTAGTGATACCAAGTAACAGCACCCTGCAGATACCCATGCACCTCTCAGGTTCTACCTCGACTCTCAATCCTAGCCCCCCCAGTGTGGACTGGGAGACAATGCAAACACTCAGCAAGGGCTATTTCGATGTCATCAACATGCTTCATCCTATCCTGGATAGACAGTGGTTCAACTCGAATATACTGAGCTCGATCATCAACAATGGATTCCAAGAAGGAGCAGTTTCATCCCTTGTACTACTTGTCTTTGCCCTTGGAGAGGTGGCGCTCACCACATCAGAAGTGCCAATCTCGGCTTACAAGCAGCGACCATCTGGAATCAAGGGAGGCACTATCGACCGGCCACCTGGTCTTGCTTATTTCAACGAGGCACGGAAAAGGATGGGGTTTGGTATGAGTGAAGTTAGCCTGGAAAATGTGCAGATGTTGGCACTTGCTTCGCTCTACTACTCAAGCTGCGGACAAGCTTCAGTCGGTACCTCTGCCTACACCCTCAATTCCCCCTTCTAACTGTCTGATAGGAATGTTGGAGGATGAATGTGTATGCGTCTTTGGCCTGCCAAGGTCTAATAACAAGGTGGGAGGCCCTATCGTCATGAGTCAACTTAACCTAATTCTGATATCCTAGCAAACCTGACGAACTACACGGCCCTCGAACAGATTTGGTCAAACGAATCTTCTGGCACTGTTCGATCATGGAAACGTAGGTAATTGATGACAACATGAGGAACACGTATTGACAACAAGGACAGGTGTTTCCATATGGAGTTCGGACTACCCCTGACTGGGCTAGAAAAGCTGGAGGAAACGATTGGTCTGCCAGACTTTAGCGGACCGATGGCTGACGAGGACTATATCGTCAATCAACAAACACACTTCCATGAGCATTTTGCTTCTCAAATCGTACTCCGAAGGCTCTCGGTCAATTTCCATTCTGTTCTTAACAAGAGTACGTCAAAAGAGCAATGTACTGGCATTCTTAGTAACCGCACACTAATGCCTTACAGCCTTTGGCACAGATGCTTCTCTACCCTTTGCAGGGTTCGCTCCCTTCAACATCTCTTCGAGCCCTGGGAACGCAGCTGTTATGAAACAACTCGACGCACAATTAGACCAGTGGCGGGGCATGTTACACAGTCATCTAAGATGGCAGGATAATCAAGATGTGGCCTTCTCGGACCCTTCACACAATGCCTTTGGTGACGTATATGCTGAAGAGTCTCTCCAGAGCAATTACATGTTTACGCCGGATCTTGATACTCCACCGGCCACGTATCCGTTTGCGGCCGACATACAAACTGCACTTCTCCGAACACGATACAGCTACAACAAATACCTCATACACAGACCCTGCATTTTCAAGGCTCTTCATCATCCTGAGAGCATGACACGAGAAGATGCTGAGGGCGCGGCCGGATGTCTCAAAGCCTCGGTTAAGTGGCCCATTGCCTTATCACCCCCTTGTACCAACAAACGACTTGTGCCGATTACTTTCTTCTGGTCACAGAATCTGCTGGGTGTTCTGATTTTGTTACATTTATCACAGCAGCACCCCATGTTGAGTCGGATCCGGTCGTCGCTTTGCGGGCAACGCTTCGATGTGGAAGCCTCCCAAACTGTTACGGTATATTTAGATTGGCTACGCGACATGAAAAAGATAGACTCAACGGCGAACTGGTGCTGGAATATCGCTCGCTTGGTCTACCAATTGGACGATTAGACGAAACGAAGGATGAGGTTGACATACCTCCCCTTATGAACACAACCAATGGAGCGGGGCTGGGGGATAGACTTTGGCGATACAGTTGCGGAACGCAACATAACATGATTGTTTGACGCTAGGAGTTGAGCGATTTGCCTCATGGCCCGAACGAATTGATTATGCAAGTCCATGTTAGAAGACTATAGAGACGCTCACGGGAATTGTGTTGATCACATCCAAGAAAGAGTTGGGAAGGAATTTAGTATTTAATCAGAGCTAAACAAACATCCACCATCGTCCTGTGTTTGATTTTAACACCCTCACCACATATCGTACATACCGTCTAGCTGACTTGCTGAGACGGCCTGATTTTACTCATGGCGGCTTAAATCAGCTTTGAGAGCCCACGATATTGAACGGGCCTTTCAACGCTGATGTCTTGCATGCTTGAGCAGCCCACTAGTGCATAGATCCGCGACCCCACAAGCTTGGCCCTTCCGAGAAGAAGCTTTCTGCTATCCGATTCCTTCGAATATGAGGAAGATAGTAGTGAGCGGATGGACCTTGCGTTCATGCTTATGGGCCAGCAACCCATTGCAACGATGCAAACGGCGTCAACAGGGGCTTATACAATTATGACGTAAGTTGCAAGTCATATATTTCTTCCTAATTCCAGCTCTCGCACTACTAGCTCGCTTTTCACAACCGAATCCGAGCCAGTACTGGACTGGATCGCGTAAGACAATAGCCATGATGGGGTCATCGGAAGTTGTTGGCCTGTAGAGAGGGGAGGGCGCAGAGATATCCAAGGTTCGCAATCGATACAGTGTGGTCAATGACGGCTCCAACAATCGTAATTGTTGATTCTCAAAAATATCCCTAGGTGAGTGAAGATTTCTGACATCAATGATTCAAGTTCACCATCGAGTAAGTTTATCCTGGCATAAAGATATCGAAGTGAGTAGCGAAAAAGTTTACGTCTATACATTACTATTCTTACCCATAAACATAATTAATAAGCCGACCTACCCTAAGCTCAAGAAGTCAAAGCCTAGCCTTTATCTACATTCAGTATCAATTCGATATTAGAGTTCTCTGAAAACTCACGACTTCCGTCACGTAGATCGGAAGCACGGCCCGAGCCGAGCGGGGACCAAAATCATATCTTTCTTTTTGGTGTCGCACATGGCTTTACTCATGGAGATTTTCTTTGCAAGATCTAAAGTATGTAGTTATACAAAAACGAAACATGGCAGATGTTGAACGAGATTTCTCCAAGGCAGAGTAGATCTTTTACTAGACTGGGATTTGTTAATGCGAGTTTCAATGAGACAGCCCTGGAGATCAAAGTGAAAAGGATGCTCGAGGTATCAACACTAAGATTTCAAATTCTAGAGTTACCGAAAGTTTATATGAACGTCACTTCGCAAGTTTTAGGTCCGAGTTAGTTAAAGCCTTTATTATGAGGCGCCTATAAGCTTTGGTCATTGAAATTATACGGAATGCCGTGATACATCTGTAGCCGCACGGTAGAAGTGTCTCAGCAATAATGTTGGCTGGTCATCTATTTAGACACTGGGTAGCTTGCTAAGATGCTTTCAGTTAGGGATACAGTGGTGACGTAATTGAGGCACAGAATCATGTAAATTGTCATCGCGATCTCATAATAGCTCAAAGTTTTGACACAAGGCGTTCAGTAACTCCGATATCTATCCATTTCATCCCCATCACACTTCGTACTTCAATCATGTCTTCCACTTCTGCGTGTTGAATCAAACATAATCCTGCAACACTTCACCAAAAGTATTTCCCTTTCTGTCGGTCCTTTGAATCCTGAGCAGCACTGTACGATTGTCGATCAGTGCGAGGGCCATGTCCGTTGGAGTTCGAATCACCGACATGGTCCATCTGGCTAACCATCCGCAGTGCTGGCTCAGAGATGGCTCGGAAAACACCCTGGTGCTGTAGGACTTCAGGCGTCCAATGTGTTTTATCGCCGAACTCTAGACCTATGTTCTCTTGAAATATCTCTTCCGCTCGTACGGACGAAATGCTTGCTTCGAACCACTGGCCAGGCTGTCCATTTCCAGGGGGAGTTACTGGAACTGACTGGCCCCGATAACTTCCTTTGGGAATCCCAGGAAGTTTCTCAACTCTTCGTATCATAGTAATCTTGAGACGGCTAGGCCCCTTTTCGCCATTTCGATACCGAGCTTCGTGACATATTCTGACCCGATCGATGCACAACTTCGAGGTGCTCTTTGGCTCGGTACTGATCACGAGTTCTCCCATCTCATTCGTCCTAAGGAATTAGTTTGACACCAAGTCAAATGATTAAGCTGAGTGACTCACTCGATACTCATGGACCGCACCAGTGATGCAGCAAACTCTTCCATATCATCCGTGATCCCCTCCATATACATTCGTGAGACAGAAAATTTGACATCCCATGCACGTCGAGTGCAATGAACGAGAGCCTTTGAGACTTCAGTCGCCGGGGGAAAGTATTGATGCTGGAAGGTATCAGCATCGACCTCCACGACAGCCTCAAGATCAAGCGTCTTCTCAGCGATGCAGTGAAATTCGTAGTAAACTCGTTTCCCCGTAAGTAACCATGAAGATCTGCCACCAAACATTTGAGGTATCGAGTTCGCTTCTGCCCCGCTTGTTGTGAGGATGGGATAGAACCCCATATGTGGATTTTCAGTGTTTAGAGCTTCAACAGTTTTATTGACAACCCACGATGGCGCTTGGCCGTCATAGACCAATGCAGGAAAAGTGTCTTTGCGGCACAGTCGTCCAAATTGAGCTTGAACACTCACTTTGCCAGGGACTATTTGCAGATCTTCGATCAACTTACTGAGCTTGTTCTCAGCCTGCGACAGAAGTTCGCCAAACTCTACCTGGTCCGACGAAGGCATGTCCATTCCCTGAACAATTCGAACGGTCTGGGCAATTGGGCCAGGTTTGGGTTTCTCAGATAGATCTACCTTGTCCTTGGCGTGCCCTTCTTCTTCTTGCTTGGCCGTGACATGGCTGAGGTTGGCGATTACCCGGGATGTTGGCGTGGCTGAAATCTGAGTTGCAGAACGATTGCCAGGGACAAATGTGACAGGCACGTTCTGCCCGAAGGTGGGCTTGTCGTCTCGCTTCTCCTCTTTCTTCTTTGAGGCGATGTTGGCCCAGCTTGGCACAGAAGCAGCTTTCTGTCTCATGGTATCAAATAATCTTTTCTCTTGAGGGTCTCTTTTGCCGAACGTGACCTTAGAATGAATACCTTGGTCCTCCGATACAGTCTGAAGTCTGTTACCACGATCGCACATAGGGATTTTATCCATAAGCGCAGGAAGAGTGATGGGACCATCATCAATGTCCATCAAATCCCGTGTACCGTTGGACTGCGGACCGGAAGGATTGGGAAAACTGAGGAGCTGGAGACTGTTTTCTGGTAAGTCCAAGCCCAATGGATGCTGGCTTAAAGAAGCTTGGTAATCTGATACTGGTATCTGCTGTCTGATCTTGGCCTCCATAGGAGAGACGTCTTTAATATTGGCAAGCTGAGGTTCGTTTGGCTCGTCGATGCTTCGCGATATCTCAGAATATGACTCGCATGATAGGTCTGTTGCAGTTCCCTGGCCCTGCTCGCCATTCTCCTCTGGGAGAAAAGAGGCTGGCATCAAATGATCACCATCTCCGCTAGACGCGATGCCGCCGAGCCAACTAGTCACGGACTTGTGGTTTCGAGAGAGGTACCTGGGATCTTCTGAGCTCTTTCGAAGTTCTGGAACCTCTAGAGGGCTAGTATGCTTGAGATTGTGATTCCTTCTAGGATCGGTGATCTTATCAATTCTGTCCGATTGACGGTGTTGGACGTTCTGAAGAGGTCTGTTGTTCTCATTGACAGCTGTCGTACCAGAACGTTTGTTTCCATATGAATATCCAGAGAAGGGGCGGAACTCTGGTTGCCACGTTACCAATTTTCCAGGCTCGGTGAGTGGATATTTGACGCGATCGGGAACAGGCTGCCGGTACCGATTAACAGATTCAATTCTCAAGGATACTGCACTGGCGATCGAGGCATACTCCTGGTCCTCGTCCTGGTCGGCACCGGCGAAATCAACATAAGTCAATCTGGACAGTCCAATATGTGTCATATATCGATAGCATAGTGTGACCGAGCCCGACGTTTCGGCAAAGACCATATGAGCGGTAGGGGGCAAAGGGGCATCCTAAGTTTGTTAGGAGAAGGATACAAGTTGATCGTAGGAAATACCATAAAGTTCGCAAGAGTGTCAAGTTTTTGTTTTGCAACGCTCAGTGCTTGTTTGCTTTCACTGCTGCCGATGTATACCAAGGAACCTTGAACATTATGTGTAATGACACATTTCGTAAGTGCTTGAAGACTATCGATGCTTGGGCCCAGAGGCGCAACATATCCCAAGAACCTGTAATTCGAGAGAATCTGTGTGATAGTGGCCCCGGATGATTCTGGAACTCGCCAGACTGTTTTGTAAGACAAGGTCTTGATAGTGTCGGGATATCGGAACGCGTCATACTGATTGAGGATGTCTTCTGGGATTGTTCGGAGAGAAGGAAAAGCAATGATATGTGGCTCATCGACCAATATTTCAATATCAAGTTGAATAGAGGATGTACCTAGGTCATCCTCGTCTTCGTCCTGTATGACAGCCTCGGCCTCCGTTTCTATTAGCTGCTCTAGTTGAGAGTGCATCCAAGTAGAGACTTCGCGTTGAGAAGCCTTTAGGGCAATGAGCTTGAACCAAGGAATGTCAGGCTCGTAGAGGATCTCGAAGATTCCCTAAATAGAAATAAAAAGGATGTGTTAGTGGAATTCTTGGAGGGTTTCCAATACTTACAAGGTCATCTTTTCTTTCCTCGACACTGGCAAAGATCAGCGCCACTCCTTTAGGGAGTAACGGAGGGTTACAAGATACGTAGAACTCTACAATATCCATGGCTGTGTCATGAAGAGGCTGAGATGAGTAGTGAATAAACAATTTCGTATCTGGGCTGATATGTGTACTCACGTAACAAGTTTTGGTTGAGGAATTGAGGAAGACTGCTTGAACACTTCAACGTAGATGCTAACGTTGACACAATGACTGGATGATACAGAACAGAGTGGTAGTTTGATTCAGATACTGAACCAGAATAGTGATAGAGCACGTGTAAAGGGAAAAATTCTCGTTCTCAAAGACGTAATGGCATGAACTGTTGCCTTGAGAAAGGAAGGCAGATAAGTAGAAAGGTTGATGCGAAACACCATGCCAAGGTGAATTGGAAGGAAGATGGAGGGAGGAAGAGGAGAGAAACTTGGAGAGTGGGAGATCTGCTTGATATAGGTACCTGCCTAAACAAACAGGAATGAAAGGAGCAACTGCCACCACTGCAGTCTCCCGCGCTGGGCGGGCAGCAGCTTCCACTGGCAAAGTCAGGTGCCAACAGTGCCACTTCCTTTTTTTGCCTTGCCGAAGAGAACAACGCTCCGTGAATCACTGCCATGAAATACGCTCCTCCTTGCCAAGTGGCAAGAGGCAGAATGGATGCCTGACACTGTGAGCACCGCATCACGAAGGTAATGTGCCCTGGAAGTGTGAAGAATATGTCCGGCAATTCATGAGCAGCGATAGGGAAGTGGGTTCTATCGATGTGCGCCTTTAACGTACCTTCCTTCTGTAGGAAGGGCTCAAAAAGGGGTTATCAAGTAAATACATTGGTTGGAAGTGAGGAATGAAGTGCGAGATCCTCAAGCAACGTCGTAGCTTGATGCACCGTCGACTTCAGCAAACAAAACATTCCGATAACTGTAATTATCTCGTGATTCACCAGGCACTCTATAGAGATCTTAATTCATGTTTCACTTTTGTTTTCTTCTCCCTTCTCCCAAGTTGTTTTACCTGGTATGGCAACATATCTATATCCGATATATCACTATTTCTCGATTGTGAGGCATCAAGCCTCGGAACAACACAAAAAGAACCCAAACACCAATAACACCTCGGCACGACCTTTCCCAGTGTTATGTAAGTAACCGAGACGGGTTACAGAGACAAATTCAAATCCAGCATAAATTTCCAGGCCATGTAATATGTCTAAAGAGCAGAAGAGCAGAGTACACAAGGAGTGGTATCGGGATAGCGGTGGTCATCAAGTATTCGTAGACGTAAAGCCAAGAAGCTGTTTGGAGCTTCGGGAAAGAAACCGGGGTCTGGCGAGTTGACGAGTCGAGTCGAGGTAAATGAATCGGTCAAACCGCACATGCAGGGAGATGTAGCTTGCCGAATAATTGAGTTGCGGACACCACAACTCGTTTGACGGGCAGCGGCGCAAAAAGATTGGCTATTTATTGAGCGCCTTTGACGTTTTCTTTAACGTTCAGCGCCCATCTCAGCTTGTTGAGAGTTTCCCTAGAAGCTTCTAGCAAAGCTTCTTGCTCATCTTCTCGCTTTCTGGCGTTGGTCTTGATGTCTTTGAGGCCTTGCTCTTGGCTCTGCTTGTATTCCTCAAACATACGAGCTATCTCCTCCTTTTCATGTCGAAGTTGCTTGATGTTGCTATCTTGCTGGTCGCACAGATCTCTTAGTGTTTGGATTTTGTCATCGTCTGCTCGGCGCTCCTCATTGAGTTGATCGATCTCGGATTTCATCTTGGAAATGGCTCGTTTGACTTCTTCTCCTTGGTCCTGCCAGTGAGACGAGATGGCATTATAGCGACCCTCCATCAACTGCGCATAGCTAGTTGCTTCTTCGACTTGGGTCGTTGCATCTTTTCTCGTTTTATCCATCTCCTCCCTCCAGCTCTTTTCGCGTTGGAGAGCATCTATAGCCTTCTTCTTCTCTAGCTCGACGGTCGTTTGTAGGGTCTCCACCTGGCGTTCTTTTCGAGCCAGCAGTGTCTTAGTGACATTGGCCTCGAGTAGTCGGCTCTCATAATCGTTGACCATACGTTCGAGCTTGTCCTCAACCAACTTGGCCGCTTGCTTGGCCTCGTCTGCTTTTAGGCGCTCAATTTTTATGTCGCGCTTCAGGGCCTCGTTGTCGCTGACGAGTTTGTTGATCACGCGACCTGTCTTTCCCAGACCGGCTTTGCCTATTGTCGAGTCCCATTGACTGTCTGGCGCTTCCACGTTTTCTGACATGGCGGAATTATCTGGATCTGGAGTAGGCTCAACCACGCGCGCAGCACCAGTGCTCCAGCGCGACGGTGTCGCTGTATGTGTGTCGTGTTCGGTCTTGGATTTGAGGTGTGTCTGGTTGTGGAAGTTGGAATCGGAGTTGGAGTTGGACAGGGCGCTCGTGGTACTGTTCATGCTACTGGAGAAATTGCTGTATTTGCTTTCGGGGCTAGACTCGGAGCCCTCAAAGCTCCGAACGCTTCTAATTGTGCTGGACCTGGCAACGGCCGGTTTATAGGAGGCAGGGTTCCGGGCTTTCATGCTGTTGATGGCGCCGGTAGAGGCGGGAGTCAAGGTCTTTTCCTCGTCCAAAGGAGGAGCATGTGGTTCGGTGGATTTACTTGCGACTGTGGCGGCGGCTGAACGAGAATAGGTTGGTGTTAGCGAGTAGCTGCTTCATTTGATGTATGTAGAAGTGGTAATGCAGTGAAAAGAGAAAATGAAATAGAAAAGTCACTAGTGTAAAGAGAACAGGGCTGACGTGAGGAGCCCAGTCACGTCAGGTCAAATCAAGCCAGACAGACGAGACGAGCAGGAGATAGGATGGGACGGGACGAGAATACAGTTGCGCCCCAGTTGAAGGTGTGGGGAGCTGTTTCAAGTGGATAATGAGGCATTGATGGATGGACATAAGGTGTAGGTAGTTGTTGAAAAGTGCAGAGACAGTAATATGAGGATACCTAACAAAGGATAGGACCAATCTCAGCCTAGGCTCTGGACATACCGTTGACTGTGTCTTTGTGAATCGAGAAATCCTTTTTATGAAGACGGTTTCGCATTGCAACAACTGAAGAATTGACTTTAGTTCATGTATCTAAAGCAGTATGATCCTTTTGCTTGGAAGTATTGGTTGTTGGTCAATACAGCAAATAAAAAGGAGTAACTTATCAGCTGCAAGACAACAGAACAAATATAGAGCGAAAGAAAGCAGAGTAGAAATGAGGGAAAGCTCTTGCTGCAATGTTAAGAACAAATGACTGGATAAGCAATGTAAACACAGACGTAAATTAACCCACACTAATAATAACGGGGGACAAGGGTCCCTTTCTTTGTTTTTGTTCTCAAGGGAAGACTTGCTGGGGTTTTCTGATCTTCAGCAGTACGTACCTCGTGATAGTGTTGGCTCCCGCTGGCTCCCGCCTGGTCCCCGTTTGTGCCGTTACAGTAAGGTACCGTTGAGATGGAGGGACGAAAGAGGTAAATATTGACATGCGTCGATCTAATTATAAAGAAACATCAGTGTCGATCAGTATCACGAGAGAAGTAGTATGTAAGTAAACAAGACAAATGCGATCCATATACAGCTGAAGGAAGGTTTGAGAGAATACCAACGTCACGGGTCTCCAATTAAAGACCATGACTATTATAGTACGTACTATACCCCAACAACCGTGCTCTCCTGATGGCACGGCAACATTAACCTCCATCAGAGCACAAAACACGCAATCCAATGTTTTACGTCTATGACATTTCTTCCCCTACCTCAGCAATGACGCCCATGACCGTTTCTCTTGAGGCCTAAGGTTCATAAGTGCAGGGATCTCGAGGTTCGTGTCACTTTATAAAAAAACGGCGTCTCTGGGCCTTCATCCTCAAAATGATATTTGGCACAAGATTACTTTGTCTTGCCAAGGACAAATTAAGTCAAGCCTACTATCGAGGTATCATTTTCTCCCCAAATACATGCTTTGGCTGCGTATATCGATAGATGCGCGCCTCGTAAATTGTTTTACAGCTTTATAATGGTCAACGGCAAACAGACAATGCCGTTCCCTCTCCATCATCGACTGGTATTTCAATCCTGTATCTACCCTTTAACGCCGTTGAATGCCTCATTTCGTGATATTGTTTTCTGTCATACTAAGACAGTTGTCCACTCCTGGCCTTCTGTTTCTGTAGCTAGTGCGCCTGAAAAGTAAGCCATTCCTTTGCTAGCCAGATTTTGTGGCTAGAGCAACTCCATCCATCATCTCAAGGATTTACATCTTTTGATACAACCAAATAAAGTGACAATCGCGTATCGTTGCACTTCCCATTAAGCGATCCATTATGACTTCGGTGCTAAAACTAGCAGCCCGCTTCAAGCGGTAATGGCAGTCGATGCAGACTGTCCAGAATCACCGGCAGCATCTCGTGCAGACTCCATGAAAGTTGGCCGATACTTGGTCAAATACTTGCCTGCCATGGGTCTTGATTCCTCAACTAGTGATGGGTCAGTAACTATCATGAGATGATGCTCCAATTCGACTTACATTCGGTCCAGATATCTTGTACTGTATCCAGTGCAATCTCTTTAACAGGTGGCCGCATCATGACCAGGTATAGAAGGCTTGTCAAAGCCAGCTGAACAACGCTGGGGTCGCGACACATGTGCTTCACTCGCGAGAGGAGACTCTTGTTTAGCTCGGGTATTTCACTCAGGAACCGTGTCAACACTTTGTCCTGAGGGTGCAGATATGGCAAAAACCCATCAATCAACCGCAAGCAGCACTTTTCGTAGTACAAAGGTCGATCGCCGCCCTTTTTTTGTTGTAGTTTGTCGTTGTACCACTCTTCACAGAGCCATGAGACCGCCACATCAATGTGCTTTCGGAAATCCTCCATCACATAGGAATATAAAACGTCGCGAATGTTGTTGCTGAGAGATTGGGGTGCTGATGAGCTACCCTCCTCTTTGATGGACGTTTCCTCGAGACCGGCCACAGAACGCGTTGCTAGTCGTGCCAGGATTGTCATCCAAGAATCCCGATTACCAGAACTAGCTGCTAATCTGCTGAAACCAGCTTTGCTCTTCTTAGCCGGATCTTCTAGTGACTTCATCATCTCGATTACCCGGGTTACTGTTCCGTTACCTGCTGTCAATGCCGTTTCCGGGGTCAGAGCGCTAGGTTGATGAAGATGGAATGACTTCAGTGCAAGGCCATCATCCAATACTGGTGCCTCATGCATGGGTGAGCTATCTAGCTTGTTGAGAATCTGTTCTGTGTCCTCAGCCTGGTAGAAATCAGGCTCATAGTCATCATCGTCTTCCTCTACACCCAATGGGGCGGTGTTGGGATTTAACTCAGGAGCCGGAGCATTGGCTAGGGCGTCAAGACGGCCACGAATACCATCGACTGCTTTAGATAGTACCTGGGGGTCAAGTCTCGACAGCGTGGTGACAGCGATCCTGGCGACTAAAGGAGCGGGAACTTGCGAGATGTCGAAGTTTTTGAGAGCAGTATTGTCGATGAGGGTGAAAACATCTGCTAGGCTGTGGGGGCCAGGGCCCAGCGGAGGTATTTGAATATGTGCTGGAGATAATCGCTGTCGTTTGGCATCGTAGGCGTCTTGCGGTGCTGGCTCGAGGGGGCGTTTCCGTCCAGAATCGTCAAAGATATCTGCCATGGTACGCATCATGCGTTCTACGTGCTGCTGTATCCTAGGAATCATTGGATTGTTGGGATCTCGCTTCACAAGATGGATAAGCAACATTCGAGTTGTTTTCTCCATCGATCTAATCATGACGCGGGTCTTGGGGGTTAAAGGAGAGTTTGCGAGCTTGAGGGGGTTAAAGTTGAGAAGAGCATTGACGACCCGGTTCGAGGTTCCTGGACGTGTCCTCACGATGATAGACATGCAGTTCAGCGTTGCGTCTACGATCAGAGCATCGCTGCAGTTTCGCTTAGAGTTAGTTACATGGGCATTTACAGTCAAAAGCAATTCTCTTACCTGCTCTCCTGCAGTGTTGCCAACATTCGGTCCAGGAGTCCGGACGCTTCAGCCTCCAAGTTCCGAGGATCGAGTGACTGGTGATTCGGGGGACTTTATCCAGCGAGACATCTAGAGTACCACCATACTGTTTCAACACGTTAGCAACATCCCACCTATTTAGATCACCGATTCATACTCGTAGCTCAGAACCCGTCGCCGCTGTCTGTGCCAAAACTACACGTTGCGCGAACTTGATGCAGCATATTCTCACGGTAGGGCTAGCATTGTCCCATATCCTTAGAACCTTTTGTTTCACAGCTACCATTCTTTCCCAAGTGATTGTGTCGTATCCGTTGTTGATGCTACATGGTCACATTAGCTAAATCTTGCATCTCGCAGGGGCAGTGTCATCATACATCCACCTCATCGCCAAGGGATAAATACTGGCAACGCATTGAATCACACTTCGTAGAACTTGAGGATCTTCACGCTCATTCTCGAGCATAGACTCCAAGGTTGGTAAAACATAAGGTTGCATTGTCTCCTTTTCTCCATTCGGTAGAGCTGGCGTCGAAAAAGCTTCAGCCAGAAACTCGGCGCCCCATCTTCGCAGTTCAAGCGCCGCACTTGGTCCGATGATGGGCAATATTCCCTTGACGACACTGGGATAATATTTGACATCTCCCAAAACCAACTTTCGTGCATCATCAAGCTGTCGGATCTGGTCCGACACTGAAAGCTTAGTCGCCATAATTTATTGATAGATTCTCGGTCGCGGTGGTAGGTATCGGCGGGTAATCAGCACATAAGCTGTCTGTGAGTGCGCGATGGAGTGGTTGTCGTAGATAAGATGCCGATGCGCCTCTTGAACCGTGGTCGCGCGACTAAGCTAAGCTTTGTAGCTGTGCATGCTTTGCGTCAACCGCTCAGCTTCATCAGGGGATCGGAAGTCGCGCGTGCCGTAGCGTCGTAATACACGTCCGGAATTCGTTCCGCGTTGTCGTTGTCACTGTGAGGGTTGGTAGATCTCGGACCTGATTCTTTGAATTGGCGACGCGAAAGCAAAGAATATAGGACGTGGAAATGGAAACAGACCCTTGCAATTAAGCCCCACAAAGAACCTGGAACTAAAGAAAGTTCAATAGACGTCACGGTCATCCTCCATCCGGCCGATGTTTAGCCGCAAATATTCTTCCCACCTCAGTACAGAGGCGCATCGACATTTACCACTGAAGTACATTCGAAGTAGAACCGTATCTCGCAACATTTAAGCAATTGGCCCTCCACAATTGCATCGCGGTCTGGCCAAGGATAATTCTCATAATAATTAAAAATTCGACAATCCAAAATGCCTACCAGGTTTGTTAATTCAACAACAGTCTTCACTCAAGTGGACTGATCATGACTCCGAAACAGCCCGCACTCAACATACTACGATCGCCGCTTGCGACAGGGCCCTGCGCTTGTACGAGCACGACGGCCCTATCTTGTCAAGAATGCCGTAACAGGCCTTGGTCTCTTGGCTGTTGTTGGAAGCATCTGTATGCAAAGAGAGAGAAAGCTCTTATGGATATCATCTTGCTAACATCGTCTAGATTGGTATACGCTTAACGCCGTTGGTCAAGACAATTTCGAAGATGTCAAGGTCCCAGATGCGCCCACAAAGCCCTCTGCTTCTAAGTAGACAGTTCACATAAGTGGCCAGGTCATATGTACGATTAAGCGCTGGAGTTCCAATGTTCACGTTCATGCAAGTAGTATAAGAGGGGAAAAGGCAGGCATTGCTATTCATAAGACCTGCTACACAAAACGCCTAGAAAACTCCCCACCCTTTCATGTACAACATGTTTGCCAGCTGTTCTGTGCATGTTGTGTATAAGTATATGAAGACCTCTGTACAATGACTCTCAAGCAACCGACTATACACTACTAAGTAGATGCCTTCCCCCGACTGATGTCAGTAGACAGATATATACCATCTGCCGAAGACGAATGCAATATTCTAATGTCGCTCAAGTCCAAATAAAAAAGACAGCCCGATCCGCCGCGGCCTGAGCCGATCATCTCCCTGGGTATCACAAAATCCGAGTACAAAAGCAATATGCTCCATAGTTTTACCAATAAAGTCCTATCCGAGGGATATGCTCAACCACAAATCCTATACACTCAGCATCTATGTAGTTGCTGTTTTTGTACCGCGGTTCACGCCGGGAAGGCTGTTACCGACCCGTTTGACTTGGTGAGCCGGGCTAAGTAACGTTCGTGTCAATTCTGGGGACTCCGACAATCGTGCCGGGAGTAAAGGAGACTGCGTCATTTGGGCGCCGGGAGGCCCAGAAGCTTGCGGCGCACCACGGCTGGTCATATCGTCTGCTGGTGCCTCCGCTGAAGCAGCTGTAGGATGCATCTTGTGAAGTAAATGATTTGGATTGGCCCACGGCGTCTCTCGAAGGAACTGTTCACCAGCGGGCCCGAGGCGGTCAAATGGTTGAGCATAGTATTCCTCGCGTCGTTGGCTTACTGGCTTGTGTCGTGATCGCTTGGCTCGCTTGCGATAGTCAGCTCAGTGCTCCAGTAGCTGACCTATGTGTTATCAACGTACCTCAATGGCAGCTATATCATCTTCCAATTCCGACGGTGTCGCCCCGGTCATCTCAGGGCCAGCGGGGAATCCTTCGTACTTTGCAATCGTAGCTAGAGCTGAGACCTCGGTGTTGTAGGCAATCGCATTTCTCACGCGTTGTGCGGGATCCTTGGGGTAGAGCAAGCCGCAGTCCTGCAAGCTGTGCGCGCTTCGCCTTGCCGTCTGGATGTCGTACCACTCTTGGTTAAGTGCTTCTAAGGTCCTTTCTCTCTTCTCGCGGACCGCTTGGTAGTACTGGCCCCATATTTGGGCTCTCTGGGCAACAGACCGTCTTTCGTGAGCCTTGAGGCGGTATTCGTGTTCATTGTTGATTTCGCGCAGTTTTTGTTCTAGTCGGTCATCTAAACACTGTTTCATGTTTAGGTACTCGGGATGTGTCGGTTCACTGGCAAGGAGTGACTGTTCCTCTTCTTCCAGTCTTTCAAGTCGGTCCTTGTAGAGCCTGGACAAGACATCAGCAGCCATATGTTTGCTTTCACGATATAACGTACCTATCACGAAACACCCCAAACATGTCCTCGATAACAGTCCAATCCTTGAAAGCAGCTTGTTTTCGTTCCACTGTGGCTAAATAAGTATGATGACATAGATCATGAGCAAGTTTGTTCTTACGCTCTTCATCATGTGCAGTAGCTGAGTCAACTTCTTCGTCTGCATCAGCATCAGCTTCGTCGTGGTGATCCACGTCTGTTCCCCTGGCGCTGTCGCGCGCGCCATCATGACTTCCGCTGTCGGTGTCGGGATCAAGGTCAGCAACAGCTGCCACCGCTTTTCGTTTGGATCCGCGAGTGTTCTTCTTTACGGCACGTGAAAGACGCTCTGCCACGTCAGTCTCTCGGTTGGTAGATCTCTTCCGGGGAGAAGCATCAGTGTCTTCAGCAGGCGTATGTGTGCCGGTGCTTTCGTGCGCAGGTGTGGGCACATCTTCTTGCAGAATAGTCTCTTCGGGCTGCTGGGGAGTGTTCGCATCAGTCGCATGTTCTGAACTTGCTCGTTTTCTAAGCGGCTGTTCGGTTTCCGACTGATCGGCACCGGGTGAACGCTTTCGCTTTCGCTCTTGAGCGTCATTTTTGTGCTCGTCTTCCTCTTCTGCATTGTGTGTGATCGCAAGTTTTGTTGGTGACTCTTCGCCGATTGTGGGGGAGGCAGTAGAAGCATCGTCGTCGTCTATGACAGATTCGTCCTCGTCGTCGTTGTGCAGGTTGGCGGTCCTACGAAGCTTGCTAGGAGTGTGTTCGTAGACTTGACCCTCGTTAAATTGGTCTACCACGACGTCTCGTTGCCTCTGGTGTTTGGGTGTATCATATAGTCGCTCAGTTTCAGCTTCTGTGACGTTGCCATCCGAGGGAACGTCGGAGTGGGCGTCAGAGAGGACGCTGTCCGAGTCAGAGGCAGGTGGAGGCTTCTTTCGAGGGCTGCGCCTGACGCTGTCTTCGTCATCATGATCGAGGTTCATGTGTTCGATGTCCTCGTCGTTGTCATCTTTAGTGTCAACCTCACTGAGGGGGCTGGAGATGTTGCTGTCCTCATGATCGGCAACTCCAAGCGCCGGAGAGGAGAGAGGCGGAGGAGCGGAAGCAGTGGCAGCCATGGCTGCAAAAGAACGCGATTACGTGTCTATATATTGACTCGGTAGAATTATTGCGTTTATTCGTATCGTTAGGCAGGAAAGAGAGCTTTGGTCGATCGCAAGGTCGTGGTCGCGCGCCCGCGGTAACGGGTGATGAGGGATGGTCGCGAGACAATCGAGGACGCAAGATCTTAGGGTGAGAGCGTGAAAAGGTGAATGTGAGCTTTGAAACAACCGATTGACTCGATCTCTGTTCGGCATGAGAGATTCCAAAGAGGAAGTCAAGGTAAGGAAGAGCTAGGAAACTTGTAGTCGACAAGTTGGGCTGGTGGAGGGGAACAGAGAGTAGAGTGAGGAATGGGATCGGTGCGGTGCGGCCCCGGTTTGCGCTGGCTGCCCTGGGCCTCTCTGGGCTTTGGGGCGAGCGCCGAAGCGGCCCTGCTGAGAGAATGACGGGCCTGGTGTAAAAAGGCGGTCCTTGACGGCAGAAATGCTCAGCGTGGGTGCCATGAGAGCTTATCCATTGGCTGAGGTTATCGAACCAATGATGATGTCCCAGACAATCTGGTTGTGGGCCTTCTGAACTGAACCTGGGACTTTTTTCTGGCTCAGGTCTTTTTCCGTCGCAGGTCCAAAGGAGTGCATCAGAGTCGACTTTTCCAATTCAGCCCAAACAGTACTGAATCTGGCACAATGGCAAAACGGTAAATTGCCAATCTTTGACATCTTTACGGATAAAAGATCTAACAAAAAGCAGTTCAAAGGGCTTGACAGCTTCTTCCAAGGCGGTGGACCCCACTCTCGACGCTCTTTTTGCGTCCAGTGTAAGTTTGCGACATCGAGCCATTTGACTTAATCCATGCTCATCATTCGCAGGCTGGTCCTGTCCAGGCTCCCACTAAAACAAGATACTCGACGTTGGTGGAACAAAAGGTTCGGGAAGCTCCCAAGCCAAGGGTGCAGCTGGAAGAACAAGACGCCAACGATGAGGTCCTCTCTGAGATTAGTGAGGAGCTGAGCTTCGAAGAAGATGGCCCCTCAGATGAGGACGACGATGAATCCGACGCTTCGGAGCCAGAGGGGGAGAGCGAAGACGAGCAGGGGCAAGAGGAAGAGACTTCGGACGAGCCCATGAAGGATGCGCCTGTGGAGCTCGACGACATTATTGATGCGACAGAAGACAAGTCAAACAAGGATCGGAAACGAAAGAGGAAGAATAACAACGACGATCTGGAGGGCAAATATCTGGACAAAATTGTTGCAGAGGAGGAAGCTGAGCGCGCCGGCAAGCGACAAAAGAACGACGCTCTGAATAAGACTGAAAAGGCTGTCGCGGAGGATGAGGAAGCCGGCAATGACAGTGATGTTCCCGTCCATGAGACACTCTCCAAGGACAGCAAGTCATCAGACGTTGAGAAGGCAGCGCGAACAGTCTTCCTCGCCAACGTGTCCACAGAAGCAATCAACTCCAAGGCCGCCAAGAAGACCCTCATGGCCCATCTATCATCCATTCTGGATAAAGATGCCACTCCTCCGCAGACCATCGAGTCACTGCGCTTCCGTTCGGTTGCGTTCGCAGGCGGCTCTCTTCCTAAGCGCGCAGCTTATATTACTAAGAGCCTGATGGACGCGACGACCAAGTCGGCTAATGCATATGTCGTATACTCAACCTCGGCCGCTGCTCGCAAGGCTGTCACCGAGCTCAATGGTACTCAGGTCCTTGAAAGGCACCTGAGAGTCGACAGCGTTGCCCACCCAAGTCCCACGGATCATCGCCGATGCGTGTTTGTTGGCAACCTCGGATTTGTTGACGACGAGACCGTCTTGAACACCAACGCGGACGGAGACACTACGGAGAAGAAGAAGAACAAGACCCCATCCGATGTCGAAGAAGGCCTTTGGCGAACTTTCAGCACTCAGGGCAAGGTTGAAAACGTCCGAGTGGTTCGAGATCCCAAGACTCGTGTAGGCAAGGGTTTCGCCTATGTTCAATTTTATGTAAGTCCATGGTTATCTCACTCTTAGATGGGACCAGCTGCTGACATTAATTTCCAGGATGCCAACGATGTCGAAGCGGCTTTACTCCTTGACGGCAAGAAGTTCCCTCCCATGTTACCGCGTAAGTTGCGAGTCACTCGGGCCAAGGACCCTCGCAAGACAGCTCTCGCCCAGGAGCGAGCCAGGGGCAAGAACTTCGTTCCCAATGGCGCCACGAAAAGCACAAAATACAAGCACAAGGCTACACCTGAGGAGCAGTCCATGGCTGGACGTACAAGTAAGCTTCTCGGCCGCTCGGCCGCCGTGCAGCAACGCCACAAGAAGCGCCCCTCAACACAGGGTGCTTCTGAGGATGCTCAAAACATTCCCTCCAACATCAAGGGTCCCGAACAGTTCGTTTTTGAAGGCCGCCGTGCTTCAGCTAAAGACGGCACACCCAAGGATCTCAAACTTGGCAAGAAGGGCAAGGGTAAGGGCAAGTCTGGCAGGCCCCAAAACCGAGGCGCAAGGAGAGCTGCCGAGTGGAAGAAGAAGAGCTGAGCGTTTATGGTGGATAGCACTTATATCGCTAGTGGTTGATAAATGGGATGTGTGCTTTTTCCATACGTGAGATAGAGAGAGAGGACGAGGATGGTGGTGTTAAAAAAGAGGGCCCCACGCCCCGGAAAGTTTGCGAGTGATTTTTCGGCCTTGGTTGCCCTGGCCAGTTCTAGCCGCTTAGATGAGAAACGAAGGTACTTGTATACTTATCGGGATCATAATGAAAAGTTCATAGAGTTGTACAGAGTTTACCAGTATATAAAACACTGATCCTTGCTCATTTGATCAATGCTTACATACTTTGGTGGCTTTTACATAAGGACTCAGAATTCTTGGACGGGGCCATACTACAAATCATGGTTACATCACGACAACCTCGTTGGAGCTAACCCAGTACATTGGTGTGATAGCGGTCCCAATATCAACGACATAATGTGAGGCAATGGGCAAAAATATTTTAATGAAACTGGATATATCATCAATTTTACGTGCCTGCTAACAAAGGCACCAAGCTTGCGTCGAGGGATAGTCTCGTCTGTCAGGACCTGGCACAACATACAAGACCATGTACTAACGGGGTACCCTGAGCCAAACTCTGGCGCTTGGTGACCAACACATCTTTAACCCCCTATGTGTGCCACCTCAAAAACGTCGGGAATCTTAAACAACTTCCTCCATAACTCTTTTCTGTACATTGCTTCGCGGGCGTGAGCCCTGTCCGAGCCATCGCTTAAAACATGTCGTCAAAGAAGTCGAAAGAGATTACATAAACTCGCCTTGTGCAATCGTCTAGTACTCGAGCTCCTCTTCAGGCTCGAAGGAGTCGGCAGCAACCTCCTCGTAATCCTTCTCCAAAGCTGCAAGATCCTCTCGGGCCTCGGTGAACTCACCTTCCTCCATACCCTCACCAACGTACCAGTGGACGAAAGCACGCTTGCTGTGCATAAGGTCGAACTTGTAGTCGAGTCGGGACCAGGCCTCAGCGATGGCGGTGGTGTTGGAAAGCATAGAGACGGATCGCTTGACGGGGGCAAGACCACCAGCCTCAGGAGCGGCGGGGACAGCCATGGGCTTCTGGTAGTTGATGCCGAGCTTGAAACCAGTGGGGCACCACTCAACCAAGTTGAATGAGGCCTTGGCCTTGAGGGCAGCGATAGCGGCGTTGCAGTCGCGGGGAACGACATCACCACGGTACAGAAGAGCGACAGCCATGTACTTGCCGTTTCGGGGATCGCAGACGACCATCTGGTTGTTGGGCTCGAAGCCTGAGGGGGAGTCAGTATCTTAAAGAATGCGCCTATATCATGAGTATGACTTACACTGGAAGGTAAGCTCCTGGACCTTGAAGCTCTCGTGCTCACTCTTGGCAGAGGAGATGACAGGGGCGTAGCTGATGAGAGGGTAGTGAATTCGGGGGTAGGGAACCAAGTTGGTCTGGAACTCGTTGAGATCGACGTTGAGGGCACCATCAAATCGGAGAGAAGAGGTAATGGAGCTGACAACCTGGGCGATGAGGCGGTTTAGGTGCTCGTACGAGGGGCGAGGAATATCGAGGTTGCGACGGCAGATGTCGTAAACAGCCTCATTATCGACGAGGAAAGTACAGTCAGAGTTCTCAATGGTGCTGTGAGTAGAGAGAACAGCGTTGTAAGGCTCAACGACGGCAGTCGAGGTTCGGGGCGCAGGGTAGACAGCGAACTCGAGCTTGGACTTCTTGCCGTACTCGGTGGAGAGACGCTCGAGGAGAAGAGCACCGAAACCAGAGCCGGTACCACCACCGAAGGAGTGGAAGATCAGGAAACCCTGAAGAGACTGGCAGTTGTCTGGAATGTGCGGTTAGCGCTGAGTGCAAGTACACGGGGATCGAAAAAGCTCACCGGCGACGCGACGAATGCGGTCAATGACATTGTCAACCATCTCCTTGCCAATGGTGTAGTGACCACGAGCATAGTTGTTGGCGGCATCCTCCTTGCCGCTGATCAACAACTCGGGGTGGAAAAGGTTACGGTATTCGCCAGTTCGGATCTCGTCAATAGGAGAGGGGTCGAGATCGACGAAGAGAGATCGAGGAACATGCTTGCCGCTGCTGGTCTCAGTGAAGAAAGTCTCGAAAGAACCAGGGTCACCAATATCGGGAGCATTGGGGTCGGGACGGCCATCGGGGCCGAGACCGTGCTCGAGAAGGTAGCTATTCAGAGGCCAGTCAGCTTCAGGTTCGTGACGGTGGCGTTATTTGACGATCAAGGGAGACAACGTACAGCTCCCAAGCAGAGTTACCGAGCTGGGTACCAGCCTGGCCCAGGTGGAGGTGAAGAATCTGGATAGCAAAGAATCAGCATCGCGAGGTCGGATGGCAGTTTCAACGGATAGTAAGGGGTCGCCCCAGCTGCCCAGCTCCGGACACCAAGTGGAACACGCAAAAGGTATCTCGAGCAGAGCGAAGCAATGCACTGCAGCGGGGAGACGGGCTGCAGCATAATTGTCAACATACCTCGCCCTTCATTTTGTCTGGATGAAGCTAAAGAAGCTACGACGAGAGGTTGAGGTCGGGGGAGAAAAAGATGGGGAGAGAAATAGTACGCGCGCAGCGCTTGAAGGGGGATGGGAAAGAAGGGGCCTGAGGTGGTGATGGTTTTTGGGGGTGTTTGGAGGTTCCAATCTGTGGGTGCAGTGGGACATCCAATTGGTGGCGGGGTCGTCAACAAACATGCTAGGCGCGCCGGAGCTATCAGGAGGTACATGTGCAACAGGCGGATTTTGGCAGTGCCAGCGCGTACCCGAGGTGCCTCTCACCGCCAATTGACAGGGAAGCCTGGGGACCCTTGACAGTGGGAGAACTGCGCTTGCAAGGGGCATTCAGGTGGGATCTGCTCACCCGGGAATGGTTTGTTGGCATTAGATCCAGTCAGTGACAGGTATAGAGAGTTGCTATCGAACAGCTGCAGCGTATTGGCTTTCATTCAGAGCATCTCTATCACTTACAACTACTACCTCGTAGCTTTGTGCTACAGAATTGCGACATGTCGATTCGAATTGAAGAGTGGGGGAGAAGATTAAACTAAAAACACGTATTGTCCGTGCTTGTATTTCGATGTAACTATATCTCGATATTCTTCCTTGCCTCTCAGGGAGTAAGAAAACTTCTGACCTCAAGACAAGGTGCCAAAAACAACTAATCTAAGGTCAACTAGATCTATACTAAATTTACCTAAATCTTTTTGTCTTTCAATATAGAGGTCTTAAGTTTACTTGCCGCCCCTAGAGCAGCTACCAAAGCATTGAGTCTTTCCTGATGGACGTTTCCTGTTACTTGACTTATCCAGTTGAATTCCAACTTAAAATGTCTTGTAGCTGAACCGTGTATTGCCTGAAACCATTGTTCTAGGCTACCAGATTCCTAGGAACCCAACAAGGCACCAGTATATCACGCTCGGGTCGGAATATTCAGTGATGCCGAAGAATTATACAGATGCCTAAAGCCACCAATACAATTAGACTCCCTGACCACAGATCGGATTCTTCTGTATAGGGGACATATTGCTGGAGCATTGTTTTTATATAACTTGAAAAGTCGTTCATATGCCAATATTCTCCTGACTCTGCACAACTATTAAGACGTCCTATTCATGAATGGTCAGCCATGGAGTTACCCTTAGTAAGACTGAAGGAGTGGCTAGAATATGTTGGGAGGGTATGAATGGTTTTTGTCCTCGTTTTGCTTTTTTATTAGCACTACCACTTAGAGATTTAAGTTATAATTAAACTTGAGATATGGATATCGTTTCGGAACGGCGCTGCCATCATTTAACCATTCACATAAGCCCTACTGGGTATGAAGGAGGCGCTACCCTATCCCGGAGATATCCAATAGTTGAATGAGTAGTAGCTCTATAAGCAGTAAATAAGCTGACAAGAAACATGTATATGTCTCGTGGAAATGACGAATTCGCTGTGCACAGAATGCACGGCACTTAAGCAGATGAAGTCACTGAAGAGTCATTGCCTAGGTTCAGCATCCCTATATTGCCTTTCTTTGGCCTGTTGTGAAGGACATTTTGTAGCTGGTACTTGATTGAAAAAACCACGGAAGTAGTAAATAAAGGACATTGCTTCAAATTGGAAGCTAGATATGTAGCATTGGATCAGACAGTAAAGTAAACAGACAGAAAATGAAATATCCACTCCTTCAGCTTGAAAACACCTAAGGCTTCACTCCCCCAATGTATGTCTCGCTGGGCGATAATCTAGAACCTTCCTGGTTCAACCCACGGTCATGCTCTCGCTCTCTCCAAGCCCTCAGCATTTCTTGGTTAACCCCCTGGTAGGAACGGGAGCCATGAGAAAACCAAAGGATGGTAGAAAGCAACACGGCACCCAAGAACACGGCCCAATTATAGTTCAGGGTCGCTCCAGTCCACTTTGCCTCGGGGGGGAAGCATTCAATTATCATCATATAGACGACCGTCAAGAAACCCAAGACATGAACAGGCTTGCTAAGCCTGCCCATGTTCCATGGGCCCAGAACCCAGCGTCCATTGCCGAAGACTCTGAATATCATGGGCAATGCGTACAATACTATGATTGCAATGACAGCAAGGGAGTAGATACTCTCGGAGGCAATAGGAGAAAATCCCAGGCATAACATAAGCATGCCGCCAATCGTGAGGAACATTGTTGTGTAGATTGGCATGTTGCTCCGGGGAGAGACATATGAGAGTTTGTCGTTGAAGAGCATCCCCCCATCCCGTGCAAAGGCAGCTGTCTGACACGACATCATGACCAAGACCGCCGCGCCACCGATAGAGGTGTTTAAGAAGATGATGAGCAGGAAAGCCCCGGCAACCTTGAGACCCCAGCGATCAATTAGGAGAGTAAAGACAGCGTAGCCGCTAAAAGGAATCGGTTAGTGCTTGCATGTATGGGTGACGTCTCGTGCTGCTAGACAGGACATGGCACCAGTTCATCAGTGGATTGAGAGACTTACGTAGGATCAGAGGCCGCTGCTTCCATGTCCGTGATGCAGAAAGCTAGCAGGATGCAGAATAGCATACTCATACCTGCTTGTAAATAATACGTGTTGATGATGGCGCGAGGTGCAGCGATTCGTGCATTGTGAGTCTTCTCTGCCACGGCTGATGGTGCGTTCCAGCCAGTAATGACCCATGCGGCACAAAAGAAGGTGAACGGAACAGCGACAGGTTTGTCCCAGTCACTGTAGTTGGTGTAATCTCCAAAGACGGTAGCGGCGGAAGTAAAAGGAATACCTTGGGTCTTTTGAGCAACGGGAAGTCCAATGACAAAGCAGGCCGAGAAGACGAGAACAAGGGTTGCTGTTACGATAAGTCAATCAAACTGATAATGCATGAATTAAAAGGACACAAATTTGGAAGCGTACCCGAGGATATAAAAATAAGGCTGGCTTTATCCATCCTAATAGATGCCGTGAAAAACCATGCAGCGCAGGTAGCTATGGCGACTGCAAAGATAATAGGGTTGGTGGGTACCCAGCCAGTCAAGAGACCGATGACGGTGCAGATGGAGCTGGACGACGCCCAAGCAAAGCTGGCAATACTGGTGAGGGCACTCATGATGTTGGCCATGCCTGCGATGAAAGATAGGGGACGGGATATCGATGGAGGTGCCAGTGCAGCCGTCCACCAGTAGTTGGCACCATTGACAGGCATCGATGAACAAAACTCTGCCGTTGTGAGAGCCCATGGGAGAAAAAGGAACGATGGAATAAACCAGCCCCTGAAGAATTTTCTTGTCGGCTCTGGATTATCATTGCTTGAGTTAAAGTGAAGTGTGCATCAGAGATTCATACCAAATCAGTCCCCAGGCAAGCCAGGCCAGTATCTGGCTGGTGGATATCACGGACATGGTGAGTCCAGAGTCTAGTGAGAAGTTGGCTCAAAAGATTGGTATGCTAATAAAGATAACTCAGGAATGGCGTGTATATTTCTGAGTTGCAAGGCCTTTTGTGAGATATTTCTTGGCGAACCAATTGATCCCCGTGTTCCTGCTCCTTATTTCGATTTGACCTCACGACTCAAAGACCCCATAGACCTCGAGATCATGGAGGATATAGCATAGTTAACATGAAATTTCGGATGGATTTTCAAGAAACTGGAAGTATTTAAATAGAGTCAGTGAAATTGTAGAACTGATTAATAACGAAATATGGTGGTTTGTCGATAATAAATATGCCTTCCTCTATTTCCAATATCGCCCAAGCTTCTATTTTAAAAGTCATGATCACGAGGATAGATCCCTTTGAGATCCCCTGTGAGCCCAGCAGCAAAATGCATGTACAGTTGCCAAGCGATGTTTTAATTTGCCCATGATTGTAATACTGTAAAAAAAAACTGTTCTATTTAAACTCCTCTACGAACTTCTGAGACGCTGCCAGGAACCGCTGAACATGATCCCCCGTGTGGCACATATTCAGGAAAAGGAAACCTCTGCGGCCGATATAAATCCCAAGCTGTAACATGTGAAAGAAGAAACATTTCTTCAACAAGTCCCTGTCCGCACGAAGAAAGTGCAGTCCTATGGTGCTTCCGAAGCCAGTAATTTGAAGGTCAGAAAAGTGACGCGCTGCACACATCTCTGAGATCCTGTTTCGAATAGTGTCTCCCAGTTTGTTGACACGATTAATTTCGCCCTCCGTGACCAGATCGATTGCAGCTAGAGCAGCTGACACAGTGAAGATATTGTTATTGAATGTTCCAGAATGGCTCAGTTTCTGACTGCTTGGCTCAAAGAGAGCCATGATGTCGGACCGCCCTCCAAAAGCTCCAAATGGCAGGCCTCCCCCAATGTATTTTCCAAGAGTTGTCATGTCAGGCATTATTTTGTGGAAGCCTTGAAGTCCATTGATGTGTAGACGAGATGTCACAACCTCATCTAATATCAAAACTGCACCGATTACGTCTGCTGCTTTGCGCAGAAACGAGAGAAACTCCCAAGTAGCAGGAATTTGACCACCTGCTGAAAGTATCGGTTCGACGATAATAGCTGCTAACTCTGATGATATATGCTTCCGGTTGGCCTCGATAATGTTGTAGGTACCAAAAATGAAGTCGTAAGGTAAGTTCAATTTGTTGTCCCTTGAACCAAAACTTAGGGTTCCGCCGTGGTATTCATTATCAAACACGCGTATCTAGGGAGAAAATAAGTTAGTTTCACATGGCTTTAGGGGATAGCTCTCTGCAGACTCTACACTAACCTTTGTTCTGCTGGTGAATGCCATGGCTGTAGCTAATGCGCAGGTGTTGGCTTCAGTGCCAGAGTTGCAGAACCTAATTCTCTCCATACTCGGAAATCTTTCCTTGATGCGCTCGCCAAGACGACACTCTTTACGAGTGACACTACCCAGGCTGAAGCCAGTAGACAGGGCACTGCTGATGGCCTCAGCAATGACGGGGTTCGAGTGTCCGTAGAAAGCTGCTGAATAATCTGATACAAAGTCCAGATACTCTCTTTTGTCGACAGAGTATAGATAAGGACCCTGTCCGCCCTCCATGTAAAGCGGAAACGGGTCGCCATGAAGGACTGAGCGCGTGTTTCCGCCAGCTAGGGTCTCCTGAGCTCGTTCATGGGCGGCTAGAGATGTAGGATTCTCTGCAACGAAGTCGTCGGTTAATGTAGCGAGTTTGCTGCGCAAGTTGCAGGATGCTTTGACCCCGCTGCCCGTTTGGAAGTTTCCTTCGCCATGTCTCCGTTCAACATAAACGGTAGAAAGGTCTTTCGACTCTGTGAACGAGGCTTGTGAGCCTTTTGGAATCCAAAGGAGGCTTCCGGGCTCCAACTCGTAGGATTGGTTTGTGACGGTATCCGTGATTACGCCAGTGCCTGTCAAACAATGACCCTGTCAGTCAACGACATGAGAAGTAAGGAAAGACCGAATTGGAATAAGTTTACCCTTTATGACATATTTAATTTCGTCCCATTCTGCTGTGTACGGTTCGGTTGGTGCTTTTCTGTCAAAAAGATCCCAGATACCATCCACGATTGGTGCATCGACATCTGATCTATGAACGACTGTAAGAGGTGATGCTTTTGACAATGGAGTTAAGCTGGCTCACCTTGAGCCAGCAATATCACTGTATGCTCCGATTTGGTCCTCTATCTCTGAAGCTAGAGTGCTGGCATCCGTGACTACCACAATATTTGTAGCCATAATTAGGGTCAACTGTCCTGGTCAACATCAGCCGTTGGAATGAACTACCCTGGTGCAAATATAAGAGGCAAGGTAGTCTTTAGGGCAGACTAATGATTGACCATATGTATTCGCCTGTGCCGGGATAAAGTCACGATCCTACGTGATCAGCTCGGTAAACCACAAGTAGTAGGTTCTGTGGGGAAGCACTTCCATCATCTTTGGCCTTGTACCGAGGGGGAGATAGACAGACCGGATCGTTCTGGGGGGCGTCTAGATGGTAAATCACATGAGTCCAAAGGAAATTTATCCGTCGGCATAATACTGCTGTACCGCAGTGGGTTAGAAGCCACCACCTCCTGTCATGTGCCGAAGTGCAGCTAATGTGCCTCTCAGAATGCTAGGTAAGTGGTCCTTTTGGGCAGATTATGGCCTTGCTTTGTATGGACTCCTTTGGGAGCCTGTTATCGCCTCAAGTAGCTCACCCATTGCAAGCTCGTTCACATAAGCCTCTTGGCGATCATGCTCAGAGATCGTGAACGCTGGAGGTGCCGCAAGAGTAGTTACAGTATATCCAAACGGGCTTGTGTGGAGAATATTTCCTGGAGATTCTATCTAAATCAAACGTTTATTCGAATATTGGAAATACTATTATTTTGGAAGCATGATGTGATAGGACGAGCTTTGGACGTTCTGCCCGAGTAATTCTCTTGTTTAGAGCAAAGACCGTACCACCCTATACGGCTATTCTCACACATCTTGATTGCGTTCCTCCTGTTTAGATACCATCAATGATGCTTCAATAACTCTTAAGCACGCCAGAATCTTCTCTTCCGTGAATTTCTGCCCTAATATCTGAAGGCAAATAGGAGCATTTGCATATAGCTCAGGGGAATCTGTATCGTTGGTCAGCACAAAGGCAGTCAATCGAAGAAATGGGCGGCCTCTGAGATCATTAAAGGATCGACCCTCGAGGATAACTTACACAGATCCCAATTATCACGATCGAAACTCGATAGAGGCTTAAACTGTCCGCCTTTGCTAGGCTTTGGATCCTCGAGGGGGTCAACGTATCCAACAGGAATTGTAGCACATGTCCAATCGAGGATATTGGAAATAGCTTCATAAAGCCAGTACTTCATGGTTCCGTGTGGAGGGGCAACATGACATCCTGAAGGTAGGATGAACACGTCTACCGGTCGCCCTGTTGCGGTCAAGGATGATGTGCTCTGCCACTTGCTAAGTATTTTTTGCCGGATTCTCAGAATCTTTTTTCCATGATCAAGAAGTTGGCGTATGCTCATTGCATCCCCTGGGTTGGCGAGCTCAATCTCCTCTGATATGGGCTCTCCAGACTTGGCGATCTCTTCTCTGACCGCATTTCCTCCATCTGCATTGAAAATACGAGTAATCATTTCCCACATGCCTTCCGTTCCGTCAAATAGCTGGACATCCACAACTTGAACTCCAGCCTTTTCCAGGGCAGCCCTCGTTGGATAGGGGTGTGTGGCGTGGTTATCCCGTCATTCGCAATGAAACCAATACAGAGCTGGTGTTTACCGCTTAATCCGATGCGCAGGGTTTCTTGGTAGGCTTGCTCATCCCATGGGAGCCGCTCGCACGCGGAATCCCACTCCCATGGCTTTATAGATAATAATGTTCTCGCATATACTTCCAGTCCGTCGATGCTTCTAGACAATGGTCCTGCGACACCGTTGATCAGATACCCCGCGTTCGCCTGCTCGGCGTCATGAAGAGGGAATCGACCATGCGTGGGACATAGGCCGTATATACCATTGAAGTTCGCCGGCGTGCGAATTGACCCAGCGATGTCGGTTCCAATTCCTAGGGGACTGCCTCCGAGAGCTATGAGCGAGCCTTCACCCCCGCTTGGCCCTCCTGCGGACAAGGTAGTGTTATACGGTGTCGCTGTTCTTCCGAAGAGGAAATTGTGGCATTCGCCAGACATAAGTGACTGAGGAATATTCGTCTTGCAATAAAAGATAGCACCAGCTGCTGAGAGTCGATTGACCAGCTCGTCAGAGTGTAGGGGGTGGACGTTTGCTCGGGCAACAAAACCAAGAGTCGTCGGCATTCCTTGGACGTTGAAAACATCTTTCAAGCTAATTGGTAACCCATGAAGTGGCCCAACAGTCTTGCCTGTTCTGCGATGATAATCATCGAGTTCTATAGCTCGGCGGAACCCTCGATCAAACATGGGATCGGTTAGGGGATTGGTAAGATGATGAGCGATGATAGTCCGGGCGATAAATGCAAGAAGAACTTCCTGGGCCGTCCACACTCCAGAGGCCAACATCTTCAATAGCTGACTTGGTTCAGAATCCGTTATTTCAATTTGTCGAACGCTCAGCTGACCATTCTTGTAATGCCATTCTACCACGTTTGTGACGGTTAAGTGGGCATAAAAGGTTTTGGAGTCCCCAATGTCCGTTCTGCCCACTCCTTGATGATCTGCTCTCTCTCAGTTTGTCGTTGAGCTGCAACATCTCTCCATGTCGAAAGAGCCAAACGGCGTGTTGCTGTGACAGTTTTGGTCATATTTCCGGTCCTGGAGTGAGGAAATACACGTAGAATATTGTGTAAGAAATGGTAGATCGGGACGTAGATTGTAGATTGAAAAACATACAAGCTCGACAGAGTCAGTATAATGCATCAACCAGTGCGTGACGGAGAGGAACTAGGCAGCTCGTTCTCGGTTGCCGGAGAATCATATGAAACGAGCCTGCTTCTATTCAATTCTCTGCATTCACACATTGGTAATCCAGCCTGGCCATCCAGCAAGCAGCCCCGTTGGTCAATATTCTGACAACACTCCGTACATGAGAAGTTGATAGAGCGCAATCCAATTGACCATCCAATTACGTAGACAACGAGACATGGCGCCCGGATTCCGGAGAAAGATCACATCAGCTCAACTACAAAAACCACCGACGGAGGGTTTTCTGTAATGTACGTACCTAGCTATCTTGAGGTAAGGTTTGGGGGAGAAGATTAGCTAGATCGACTAGCAGGGATCTATGCATCCATATTCATGATGGTGGAGTGGAGGTTTTGCGGGGCCGTCCATTCTGCTGGGATTCTTGCATGGGTGTTGTTGGAAACCCGGCGGCTTGTTTCTGGCAAACATGGTATGCATGTGTGCGTGTTATCCTGGCGGAAACAGATCTGCCGTAAAGTAATGACATGGTGCGGTGCCTTGAGATTCTGTTCTTTTTATTTCGAGGTAGAAACAAAAGTTCGTGGTAATGTATGGCATTTCTGGATCCTTCTCAGGATGAGCAAACATCATATTGGCCCTTGTTCAACTCCATATTCCGACTCAAAGAAGCGGAATCACCAGTTTCATTTCGGTGACGATTTGGTTCAGGCTAGCAAATGGTCTCGCGGAGTCCTCGAGAGTTTGCTGATAATTCAGCCACGTCCCTTTAGCAACCCAGAGTCTCTGGAGAGCTTGCCTCACATACTTCGGGTGCTCCATGCAGTAAAGGCGTTCAAGACTTTGAAGCATATCGAGAATTGTCTGTCCATCGTGATCTGACCCTGGACCGCATTCACACCCTGCCACAACCAGCGGCCATAGTAGTGCGTTTCCAATAGAGACTCGTGGGATGGAGCCCAGGCGAAGTATAGCCTCGCAGTTGGAGATGATTGCCGTCACATGTACTCTGGCGAGTGTACTCCGGTCCGCTCTAAAAGGCTCCAAATGGTTTGCGTGGAAACCAAAGCATCTCCATAGGTACAGATAGGCAGCCAACCGAAAGGTTTCCCAAGCACTGCGCAAGACCATAGCAGCGACAGGTGACAGACCTTGAGGGACCAAGGGCACAGTCCAGCGTTTTAACGAACCTTCAATTTTATCGCTTGCGTTGCCATAAGCAAGCGGTGATGCTGTTTGGTAATAGAATATGAGCTTTCTTGGAGTCTGATAGGGCAAGACAGGTAATCATCTCTTACCTTGTGTGAAACTTGACACGGATTGGCCATTGTTCACATCAGCCCTATTCTCAAGTTCCATATAAATATTATCATCAACAAGTTCGGCAACATCAGCAATGATATTAACAAGAGATTCGGGGTACCCCATCATGCTCTCCAAGGCTGTTAAGTCCCCACCAGGTTCTGTATGGGTGCGGTGCGACATCCAAGATGTCCATGTCCTCTGTGATGGTTGTTTTCGACCAATCCAAAACGCTGAAATGTCATGATATGAGCATACACCCATGAGGAAGCGGCCGAGAGGTGTGGAGGCGAGGAGTGACTGGTCTGTCATCCTTACGATGCTGATCATACCACGAATGTGGCGTATCGAATAACCGTCGCATTGGGAGAAAGTGAAGAAGTTAAGGATCAACGACGAGGCCAACAACTGATGAATCCACTCTATGTCAACATGATCCCCACCGGCTGCGCCAATATCCCCACGGAGCTGTGTCAAAGCCATTTGGTAATGGTACAGGTCTGTTGGTGAGCGCTCCGATGGGTTGGAGGCAAGAGATAGTAAGCCATGTCTGATGGATGATGACTTCAGGCACAGCGGCAATATCATTCGCAACAGAGATGGAGATGATTTATCAACAGCGCCGAAGGCACGTCTGCTCCGTCTTATGACTAGGAGTAACCAAGGACCAAATCAGCGCTCGGTCAAGCAAACAAGTCAAAGCTGCCGCATCAGGGAATAGAATCATGAAGCAGGGGGGGGGTTATGGGAATGGGTATATCCCTCCCCCACTGCTTGATTTCTCAAGTTGAGCACTAACCTCGACACAGGCTCTGATTCTCTGCTCCAGAGAGGATGGGCCCTTGGCTCCAAGCAGGACCGAATTGTTCGGAATTGAACTGTGTTGGGTCTGAACCAGATGTTGATGGAGACATGATATAGAGCATCTACTGGTTGTTTGAAGGAAGTATAGAGATTTGGGGCATCAGAGGGGTAGGTTAGGTAAGGTAGTGTAGTGCTAAAACGACCAGAAGCCCCTACTAACTTGCCCCAGACGGGACTCATTCAGTCATTCATTTCCATGTAATCTTTCTTCCTTATCTATACCAACATTTTGAACACGCTTCACTTTCTATGGCGCGTGCATGCGATCGATGTTGGCTCTTGGTGAGTTGAATTAGGGCATCATTTGTCCCTTCTTTCCAAAAAATTTCGGGCGCTGATTCTTCATAGAAAACGCAGTGTGATGGAGAATCTCCATGCGCTCGTTGCCGACGACTTCAGACAGCATGTCTATATAAGCGACCTGTCCGTCGCCCAGGCAGACCGAGGTTGAATTCTGGGCGCGGACGCGAGACTGGACGTGGTTCTGATCATTTGGCTGATCATTTGGCTGATCTGTCCGAGTGTTCACCTCCAAGAAGAGAAGACTCGACGGACCATCCTCGTACAGATAATGTGACGAGGGAGGAGTCGATCTCATCAAGTGACGATGTGCCGAACCAGCTATCAACCTGGCCAGAAGAAGATAATTCGGCTCGATCGAATGACACCCAGCATGACAATCTTGTATCAAACCATGGGGATTCCGCAATCGATATTGAAGGTCATACACAAGTTGAACAACTCACACCAAGGCACCATAATGAGGAGTCAACGACACATCTTCACTCTGAAATGCTTACCTCCTTGGGTGAAGCTTTTGCTCTGGGCCTCGATCTACAAATGGCCCAGTATATGCTCTCACAAGTGTTTGATCAATCAGCGCGGCTCGGAATCTTTACCATATTATCTCATCTTCCCCCGGATATGTCGCCAACGTCATTGCTTAACCAGCCGGGAGGTCAGCCACGTGAACTTTCATTGATGCTCCTTGCAGTCGGGCTACAGTTGAATTTTGTTTGGCTCCCTATAGACTTACAGGATTCTCTGGAGCTGCTTATAGATACACTGCGGATAGAGTCACTCAAGCTCATGCCAATGCTCGCTTGGAAATCCTCCGATATAAATGTATCACAGAGCATGTCGCTCCTGCTTGCCAGCCACACATGGTGCCTTCAGAGCGGCATGGTTGAAATTGCCTGTCGTTGGAATGCGATAGCAGGCCTGATTTGGCACGATCTTGTGAGAATGGGCAATTTAGATCCGCTACAAAGAACTGTTCTTGCCCGGTACGTTTATGACTTCGCCTCTTTCTATTCCTTCAACTTATCAAAGTGATTCAGAGTTGGAAAAGCAATCGAACTTCAGAATGCGTAAGTTTCCCCTTTTCCGTGCTCATCTCCTTCCGTCTTCTGAAAAGGACGCTAAAACGATTCTTTGAGGCTGCAGAGTCCTCGGCATGTTGCATTACAAGCCACCAACTGCCTCTGCTGGCTTCCAGAGTTTGCCTGGTGATCTGCAGCACGAGGTTTTGAGCCCGGGATGGATTACCGCTACCTCTCCGACTACTTTGCAGACTGATTTCTTTTCATTATTTATGCCTTTGGTTCAGTATGTACTACCTCCTCCTATTACAATGCTCCAATAATCTAGTGGTACTAATAATCCATTAAGACCTCTACAGAAAGTCATTGCCTTGTCTCACGATTCACCCGCTTTAGATGAGATTCTAGATGAGCTGGAGGCATACTTTATTCGGTTTCCAACTACACTTCTCGAGTATAAGTGTCTGGAACACGCATATCAGACAGAAGCCATGATTTGGTTTCATGGGATCTTCATGCTCACATGTACGTGGTTCAAATCAATGGATCAGGAAGAAAATACCTTCAAGCTAATAAAGAAGAAAGACATTGATCGTGATCTTTTTCTACTCCTCACGAGCGATGGATTGACCTCAACCGGCGAGTTCGTTTCTGCATTGGATCATTCCATCTTGCTGGGAGAGGTATGAGATGAGTGTCCAGCCTTTCGTTCTCTTATGGCAATGCTAACTAGGGGCTCTAAATAGGCGCTTCCTACTCTTATGCTTCTCGATTCCAGATGTCAGACTATATCGGCTGCGTCAGCTTTCTTCGTTCTAATCTCATCTGTGGTAACCTGCCTTGCGCTTAGGGAATTCGACAGCTCTTTGGATTCCTACGAGGCCATGACTACAGTACCATCCACACTTCTCGCCTCTACGGATCGTCACCTAAGGGCGCTGGAAATTTTTAAGCAAGGCACACGATTCAACGTGGAACTTATCAAGAACATTCAGACATGCCTATCCAGTGTTGCCATAATAGGGAGTCCAGGTTTATCTTCTGACTACCACAGGACACTGAATGAATTGGCGTTCTACGGATGGGCATCAGGGGGACATGGCATTCTTCGGTCACCAAAGCAACCGGTTGTCGAAAGCTCACAGTTCATGAACCGCTATCCTATCAATTCTCGATTCCTGCAGGATCGGCAAGCCCGGACACATGCTATTGAAAGAATTTGTTCGCCCAGTGCTCGCATTTGCCAACCTGGCTCTTTCGAGCTGAGCATTGAATTGTTTTGATCATAAGATCTACAAGTAGTCACTCTGGGGCAGGCGTGTTCACATTTGTCGATTTACACTTGTCGAATATATTCTGACTATGAACTATGGCTAGGGGATTCCTGGCTCCAACTATAATCAAGCTTGCTGAGGGCTATTTGCTAGATCCCTCACAAATGCCTTGGGGAACCATTCAGGAACCTGAAAATCCTTTTCCCCGCGCAAGAAAGAAAGCATCATGTCCGTGACGACCGTTGAGCAAGCGAAACACCTCGTCATTCCCTCACCATTGTGTCCCACAGATACGAATTCACCCAAGCTATCCTTGTCCGGCCGGCCAACGATACTTGCACCATCGACAGTGAATCCCTGGATACCGGTCCAGTCATACTTGACGCACGGCTGTACTTCAACTCCTGGGAACCATTCACCAAATGTCTGTTTAAGAAATCGGAGCATCTCCTTCTTCACCGGGTCATCATCAGGGATAGTCTGGGAGTCGTTGTAGTAGTTCATACACTCTGCAGTAGCAAGACCGTACAGAAAGGGGCCTTTCTGCGGTGCCTGTTGAATCCAGTGCCAAAAATCAGCGTATCCAAAACCTTGGTCAAGCTGGGTACGCGCGGTCTTTGGTGGCTGTATGCCGAGCATGTGAGCCATGCAGCCCACAACGCCTTTCTTCCCTCTTAGAACGGGCAAGGGGTTGTTTGCGTAACCATTGGTCGCATGGAGGACGACCTTGGCATTGACAACTTTTCCAGTGCTGGTTGTGATGAGGTAATGCTGGGATGAGTCTTTTGTGACGCAAGAAACTTGGGAGACGGGCGTATTGGGGTGCAATGAGAGGGCCGGCATTCTTTCCAGTGCGGCCTCAAAGAGCACGTTGACGAACCTTCTTGGGTACATGGTACCACAGTTCTCAAGATATGCGGCACCATGTTGGGCCGCTTCAGGGGTAATGGAGACTTTCTGTCGTAGAAGTTGTATGAGCTGGGGTAGACATTAAAACGGAGTGGGAAAGCAACAGCAGGGGCCAAGCGATAGGTTCTGCTTTCATACCTGTAAGATATCCTCTGGGCTCAAAATGCGGCATTCCTCCTTATACCCTTGCTCACGAGCGTATTTCAGATCGTCCTCAAACTTTTGACGTTCCTCCTGGCTTGCGAAGACGACCATGGTGCCATTGAGACGAAGATCAACCTTTTCTGCAGCATCGAGCTGAGAAATGCACTCAATCATCATGTCTCTGTTTTTGAGCACCATGTTTCTCATACGCAGCGCATCCTCGGTGCCGAAGGTCTTTGCCAGCTCGCGATAGTCATAGACTTCTGGACGGCCAATATGTCCTCCATTACGGCCTGTCGCGCCAGAGCAGAGACCGCGAGCCTCAAGGACAGCTACACGCAGCTCTGGCTGTTTCTGAGAAAGCCCTGTATGTAGCTGCGGCGCCGGTGATACCAGAACCAATGATGGCAACATCGACATCTTCTGGTAGAGGAGCCGATGCAAAGTGTTCGTCCAGGCTGATGGGGAAGTTCTCAATCCAATAGCACTTGGCGTCGCTGGGTGTCTGTGGGAATCTAGCTGGTGATAGCGCGGGTCTGTCATGATCCATGGCCTTCTCCAGTTCACTGGAAGTGAATTGAGTATCCGTGTCCAAAGACATGACTCGACGAGGTTAAGAAAGGGTTCACAACTTGACAAAATGGCTATTATGAGGTTGTTCCTTTTGTTATTCTCTGACGTGCCGTATCACGCTCAAAAATAGTAATGTGCGTTGATTCAGGTATAGTAGTCAAGAGTTCTTCTATCTTATACAATAGAAGTGGTAACTCTCCGGTATATTCCCCGCCGTCACCAGCACCGTTAGTTGCTTCGTGATCATCCTAGGTACGCGGGATAAGATCTCGGAGTACCTTATAGTGGAGAACTCTGCTGTAAGAATGCGCTGTCGGCATATAAAGAGCCACCTTTTTTCTCCTCTTTCATACCATTTGCGTTAGATAAGTTATTAATAGGAATGGTTATGTAGAACCAACCAATGGAACCACACGGGTTTGAGGCTTTGAGGCGAGGTTCACATCGTCAATTATACCTCCCCTCAGTAGAGACCAATTCACTTCAGAATAGTTCAGGTAGCGATGCAATGTTTTTACGAAGTTGGTATCCCCAAAGAGGTTTTAAGACAGGAATTTAGAATTAATATACCTTAGTAGTTGAAACGAGCTACCTCGGGCCGTGGAAGTACGAAGGAATTGTACCTAGTTACGAGGTCAAGACTGTTATCTCCAAGTATTCTCAGCCTCGCATCGTCCGTTGCGACAAAGTGGCTCATGAGTAGTTGAAATTTCGATAGATTGTCTGGCTGAATAAAAATGCTTCGAATAATATTTCACATACATAGCCCATGAAATAACTTTGAAGTAAATTGATACCAGAACAGTTAAGAATAGTAATACTTCAAAGCTGCCTCCAACATAGTCCGTACACATAATGCAAGCCAACTAAAGCTGTGGTTCCCGCCGCGCGTGTAATGTAAGATCAATCTATGTAGTAAGGGAACCCAGCAACTTCCACCTTGATTTACATATTAGCGATGTATTGGATGGCCACTGGTTGAAACCGATCTGTCAAAGGACGAATATCCACACGGGAGCAGCCCTTCTTCATCTTCTTTCCATTGAATAGATCGTTGACCCATGACATGTAGTCAGCCTGAGCAGAGTTGGTAACACTGTCATGGTTCTGGCCCGCGTATGCCAAGAACTTGATTGAAGAGTCAGGCTCTTCTTTGCAAGTCCTTTTATAATCCTCAACAGTAAACTTGATAGGAACAACTCCATCGTCAGCCCCCTGAATCACCATCAAGGGCGCCGCCAGCTTCCAGTGACCTTCTCCCATGTACGTCTTTCGCCATGCCGCAACTGCAGGATGTTTAGTCCACGAAGAGTTCTTATAGAACTCTTCGTTAGCCATGTTCCCTGTGGCGTAGAAACCACCGTACGTACAGCTCCGCCGCATGAGAGTGAGACGTCCAATAGCAGTCTTGGTCAGATAGTCCTCAGCATGTAGCTCGGGATAGAGATTGGCGATATTGGGTAGGAGATACGCCGTAAGTCCGTAGGAAGAACCATCCGCTGAAACAGGCATGCTGTTCAGATAGTCGATGAGATCGGTTGGGCGGTTGGCCGGGGCGATGGCGACTGAACCAAGGAACTTGCCGGCCTTGTTGAGACCATCTTGGCCAGACAGCGCCAGTTTCTGGTTGACACGCCAAGCAGTCATTCCGCCTTCACTCTGGCCGACAGTCACCCATTCGTGAGAGAGAAGTGCCCCTATCCTCCTCTTGGCAGCGATAACGCTGAATGCCACATCAGCAGCATGAGTCCAGCCTGCTACGTATTGGAATCCTTTAGGCGTGGTGCTTCCAAGGCCAGCGTAGCCGAGCTGCACAAAAGAGTATGGTGCTTGCCAGTCATAATACAGATTTTTGTGGTTCGTGGGTGCGCAGATAGGGACGACACCAGCAGTGCCGTGTGTCCATACCAATGTCCTCAACTTTTTGGCATCATTCGGAGGCGCATATGGGATAAGAAGGAATGCGCTCGCAGCAACAACCTTCCCATCAGCATCCTCGCTGGTATACTGAAATCGTGAGAGGGCCGCGCCAGCAGGAATGGTCCAATTCGTGCTGGCAGTCGTAGCATCGATGTCTTGCCATCGCAGGATATCACCAGGTTTGGCTGTCGAGATATTATGCGGAAGATGCCAGAATGGATCATGGCTGAGGTTGGCTGCTACCCAATTACCAGCATCTATCTCCCAGCCCATGGTAAAGTTCTTCTGGCATTCTCCCTTGCAATAGGGGCTTGTTGGTGCTTTTGACAGGTGGGCATCTCCAAGTACTAAGGAACTAAAGGCCAGGGAAGTGAAGAGAAGGTAAAGTAGCATTGTGATTGTCTAGATGAAAGATTGATAGTCATATTCTAGGTGAGGTATCGTAATCTAGAGTGCTGCAAGAAGATCTGTATTTGTACATCAGCTCTATCTACTATCTTGGGCTTGTACAGAACTTCACTACTAGCAAAGCTAGGCCACATATCAAGACGCAAATTGGTTGTCACCTATTTACCCCAGGTTTTTTCTATTTCGACCTAACTATCTTAGTTTTAGCTTTTTTTTTTTTTCTTTGGGGTGGCTTTGCACTTCATAGCTTTTCGAGGACACGAAATAGTCGCTCCACGGATGTCGATTGCCATTGGAAATACACCGTCGGTCGATTTCCACCATCGGGTGATTTTGTGGACATTCGCAATTGAACATGACTGACTCCTGAGTGATAGAGTAAAGCTGATATCATGGCATTTGTATCTTTCTCAATTTCCTCACTCTTCTCCTTAGATACGATATCCTAGATGTTTGCGATATGAGGGTGGCAATGATATCACCTTAAATCGCCAACACCGAATCATTATCATCACCACAACCACCAATACCAACCTTACACAATCAGCCTCAATGGCGCCTGTTTTCGTTGATCTCTCAGCTCCTAATGGCCATAAATGGACACAACCTGTGGGGCTCTTTATTAATAACGAATTCGTCGGGTCCAAAGATGCAAAAACCCTTGCCGTGGTGAATCCTGCGTAAGTACAGAGCTTCCCAATTCACTTGAGCTTACTTTCTTACATGTCTCTCTAGCACTGAGGAAGAGATAGCTCCGGCTGCTTTGGCTAGCGAGGAGGATCTCGACAAGGCCATTCAAGCTGCCTTTGACGCCTTTTCCAACTCTGACTGGCGTAGACTGTCCGGAACTGATAGAGGAAAGCTCGTGTTCCGTCTGGCAGATCTGATGGAAAAGAATGCTACGTCTCTTGCAACTGCCGAGTCCCTCAATACTGGGAAAGCATATAGTATCGCACTCGAAGGGGATGTTGAGGATGCCATAAAGATTGTTCGCTATTATGCCGGATATGCGGACAAGTTCTTTGGACAAGTTATCGACACTGGCGCTAACATGCTCGCGTATACACTGAAAGAACCCATCGGTGTCTGTGGGTTGATAGTGCCCTAGAACTTCCCACTGAATACGGCTATTACCAAACTCGCCCCGGCGTTATGTTGCGGCAACACTGTTATCCTGAAGCCCTCGGGAGTTACACCTCTCTCTGTCCTCTATCTGGCCACATTGATCAAAGAAGCCGGTTTTCCGCCTGGTGTTGTCAACATTATCAATGGATTAGGCCCGCCTGTTGGTGCCGCCATGGCAACTCACAAGCAAATATCCAAGATCTCATTCACTGGAAGCACGCGCGTGGGTAAAGAGCTCATGAAACTTGGCAGCACGGAGATGAAGAAGCTCACCCTTGAGACCAGTGAAAAGTCTCCTTTGATCGTGTTCGAAGACTCCAACTTGGATTTGGCCGCTCAATGGGCTCATCTTGGCTTCACTTTCAATCAAGGAGAGCTCTGCAAAGCAACAACACGCATCTTGGTACAGAACACCATCTTCGACCGCTTCCTCGACGCCCTCAAAGCAGTAACGCTGAAATATCCTGTGGGTCAGCCATTCGAAGAGGAAACATACCTCGGTCCCCTCGTCAGCAAAGCGCACTTTGACAGAGTACAAGAATACATCAATATTGGAAAGGAAGACGGGGCGAAAGATATCCTGGAGAGCTGTATGCAAACTGTGTTCAAAAAGGGGTTCTTCGTTAGCCCAAGCATCTTTGTCGATGTTAAGCCGTCGATGCGGATTTACCGAGAGGAGATCTTCAGTCCATGTGCCGTGGTAGTACCGTTCAAAGACGAGGATGGGGCAGTGAAATTGGCTAATGACTCCATGTACGGCCTCGGCAGTGCACTCTTTACAGAGCATATCAGCAAGGCTCACAACGTCGCCCGTAGTATTGAGGCTGGCATGGTATGGGTGAACAGCAGCAACGATTCAGACTTCCGGGTGCCTTTCGGCGATGTTAAACAAAGTGGCATAGGTAGGGAGCTGGGCGAGGCGGGCCTAGAGGCTTACTACAACGTCAAGGCTATTCATGTAAACATTGGCAATGTACCGCCGATGTAAGCTGTTAATAAAGGAGTCCGTGGACACGCTGCTTGAGTGGTTCCCAGCATGGTCTGAGAAGCCAATTACATTAAATGAATCTGTGAGTGATGTGCACTGCCCATCTTATAAGACGCTTCGCTTACTCTATCTAACCTCCTAAGCCCGGCACTCGTGCCAGCGAGAACATTATGTATCTCGTTATATGGTTGTCTGCATCATGGACTGACTCTACTGCAGATTACAAGAAAAGGGGAGGAAACTTCTATGACAAGCACTGGTAAAATCAAGAATTTAAACTCGGTATTAAATTGTATTTTAACAATGTTTTCCCACCCAACCGCCATACTCCAAAAAAATAAGACTTTCGGATATTTCCTCCTGTAAGATGATTGTATGTAGTAAAAAAGCAAAATAGCCCATAGCAACATGCTACGGCCGCGCAAAGTGGTATCATAGGTGTGTAGGCCGTTTCCCGTCCAAGTCATGATCCCTCGCTCTTCTCGCTTCCAGAATTTGACCATTCGAACTTGATTCTAATCTTAATCTCGCCGGTTGTCTTCTTGTGACTGCGTCTCAGAACGCTCCAGCTCTTCTATACGGCGTTGGATCGCCTCTTTCTGGACTTGCAATGCCCTGATCTCCTCGTCCCGTGTTGCCGTATCCTCGCTAAGCCGACTATCGTTTTCGGTCATGCTGTTTGAGTCCGTGGCAGCCTCGTAAGCTGGTGGTGGCTCTGCGGTCTGGCGGCTCCTGTCACGTCGATGGCTGGCGTCCGCAGCAGCGTAAAAGTTATCTCCTGGTGATGGCGAAGTGTGACGCATGTTTCCCACCGCGCCGAGCTCGTGTGCTCGTCTCTTTTCCGTCTTTGTTCGCTCTCTGCGAACAAGCCAAAAGGCTAATGCTCCGATCGCAAGAAGTACAAAAACCGCAACACCGACACCAATACCGATGCGTGCACCCAGGGACAAGGATCGGCCATGATGCTCGGTACCAGGAATATCGTCCTCATCCTTGAGTCCAAGGGCATCCTTGTCACTATCCTTGAACAGGGCCCTAATGGTATAAACAGCAATCGTTGCACCATACAAAGTCGTTGGTGTGTCTGATACAGCATCATAAGTCTGAGCTGTCTGGTTGTACGTGTAAGGAACGGCTAATACGGATGAAACTGAACGTTTACACAAATTGCCATCCAGAGTGTATTCCCTACTGCAATTAGAATGGTAGGTGAAAACAATTTTGCTCATGACTTACGATGAGCAGCATATAGCTGTCGTTGTCTCGTCGTCCCGGTTCTCACTGGTATCGACACGTAGTGATACGGTGGTCCATCCATGAGGGCATGTGCCTGGACTGTAAACCCCTGTAAGGCCTTTATCGAACATGGCATCCGGATAGCACGATAATGACTTTGCTCCAGCAATTGGCTGCAGGTCAAGCATCGCTGCGAGGCCATCAGAACCTGACTTTGGCATCTTGTTTGCATCATAAGTCCATGTGCAATCAACCGGTCCGGTCCAAGGTGTGGTCATCGGTGGGAATATCCCTTCATTGTCGAGGTCGTCTTCATTGGTAGGCTTAGGTGCAATCACAAGTGTTGTCGGAGCAGGCGTTGGGTCAGATAAAGAGATGGTGGATGATGGCGCGGCGGATGCTATTGATGATAACCCAGATGTGGACTCATCGTCCTCCATCGAAGAAGACATGATGTTGGGTGATTACGATAAGCTGCAGTAATTGCAAAGTAGCTTTAAGCTTATATGCCAGGCCGATTCGACTACAAGCCGCACCACAAGTGCTTTGCTTGCCGTCAACTCGGCGTATCAATGACGATCGTCACTCTTGTCCATCCGGCAATGCGACCAATGGTTTGCGTTCGCGTTGGATAAAAGGGCGCGTGAAAGTATTCGCTGGGCAGACAATCTGCGGTGGGGATTTCGCGCAGACTTGGCTATATTTCAGCTGCAGACAAGAAGACGCGTGTGAACAATATCGAGGACAGCGTCTCTGACGATGTCGAAGGCCATCCGGGCGTAGGTATTGTAGAGGAACGAACCGATGAGGATAGATATATAACACAGACGGGAAAGACAAGAAATGGTGACAAATGAATGAGAAGAAAGGAAAGGTTCGTACCCAAGAAACGACAAGAACGAGCCAAGCAGACAGCAGACAAGTCCATAACATGCCTGCCCAGCAGCAGCAGCAGCAGCGAGAAGACGGGTACAGTAGCGTTGGTGTTCCCCCTTCTGAGGCCTTTGAAGGCTTGGCGAAATCTTATCACGGGTGGGTGCCGAGAAACGCCAAGGCCTGGATTGCACCGAAACATGTCCACGTTGACCGCTGTGAGTTCTGGGCATTGCCGCCTTGTCCTCTTCTCGTAGTTAGTAGCTCCAGGTGGTGAGCTTCTCCCTAACCTGCCTAGCTACAGCCCATGGTCGTCGTCCAGATAGTCGTTTGAATAAGGTATAGGTTTATACTGGATGTCATCGTCAAGCCTCCATCATAAGACACGCACAAGCCATCATCATAGGTTACTGCGGAAGCGTGGTCGGGCCCAATGACCATGACCATGCCCAGTAGCTTACGAGGGCCAATGCTCATCATAGTGGGCGCGTCTAGCCAAAGCCGAGCATGTTGGCCCCAGTGCCACGGTCTTGGCTGATGAGTATCGGATTTCTGGGCATTTGGGAATCTCTGACGCGGGAAATGAAGGCCGCCTTGGTTTGTGCCGAATACGCCGGCTTGGAAGTCTTGGAACATGCACACCAAGCCACGACCAAGAATAGCCAATCCCATTCCCTAGATAAAAAGGCAGAAAATTCCGTCTTGGCCGCAATTATCAGTCACGAGATCAATTCACCGTTCTACTTTCTCAACTCACTTTTAAATTTTCATTACTGAAGAGAAAATGACTTGACTTGTTCGAGTAATTGAATGTAAATTGACTGTCAAAGCGCAACGCCCAGTAAACTTGATACTCTTGGCGTTGCACCGCCAATGTAGGACGAAACCATATGAATAGATGACAATGAATCAATAATCATAAGATACGCTGAACAAGGCGAGCCGCGAGTCTTGGCTGGACTTATTCGCTTCTTTATCCCAATTAGCGTCCATTCTCAGACGATTTGCAGAGGGAAAAGGGAATAGAGTTGCTCAGAAGCTCGGTTGACTGCCGGGAGATCATGGCTGGTGACAGCAAACTGCCAATAAGGTTACAGCAGCACATGCCAGGGCAACCACTTATACGGCTAGATGATTGAAGATCAAGTGCCATCTCAATAGAAGCTCACCGGGAGTTGAAGATTCAAGATAACTACCGGTGCCGTCGTTTTTACGCTATCCTTTCATAGCATTTTACCATTTCGAAAATGTGATATCCATTACCTTATCTCGTATAACTGTTGTTGTTGCAATGGACATTGTACTGTACTGTGAATATGAAGGCCGAGAACATTACACTTGAACGTCTTCACTAAAACACAACTCTTGACCACATAAGAATGACACTGTCATCTCAATTTACATAATCTGGAAGCTATCGATGTGAATAGATTCGACTCGAGATACGGTGTAATTGACCCAGAGACGATACAAGAGCTTCACGTCTCCATAAAAGCTCGGAACCGCGGAGCCAATTCTTCCGTCGTCAAGATCGGGGTACGTACCCACAATCACATTTTTGACAAAATCACGTGCTGAGGGGGTGAAGGGCAAGAACCCTACATCTCGCTTTCCCTGTGCGCCTAAGCGATTGTTGCAACAACCGCCTTCAAATCGACCCCAGCCAGGCCATCAATTTTCCGCTCAGCGAATTCAACAACACAACACCGCGATCATGGCTGACGAATACGTACGTGTGCTCTCGATATATCCCTTCCCCTCTGGAAATAGAAAACATACACCCGCCGCCGACATGGCTTCCTCGACTCCCGCCCGCCACCCACGATGATGATGATGATATTGGAACGATGGGAGAGAATACAAAAAGAGCTTGACTGACTTGTGTTCCGGATGATAGGACGCCGAGCAGGCTGCCGAGCTCAAGAGAAAGAGAGCGTTCCGAAAGTTCTCCTACCGAGGAATCGACCTTGATCAGTATGTTGCCACTGCACGAATTCTGCGCCTCGATGAGACGAAAAACTGCGAGGACGCATCCCCGAGCGAACGAACTCCATGCTGATGTTTGATTTTTCTCCCCTCCACAGGCTCCTCGACCTCTCCTCCGACCAGCTTCGCGATGTTGTCCACGCTCGTGCCCGCCGCAGGATCAACCGTGGCCTGAAGCGCCGCCCCATGGGTCTCATCAAGAAGCTCCGAAAGGCTAAGCAGGAGGCTCAGCCCAACGAGAAGCCCGACCTCGTCAAGACCCATCTCCGAGACATGATTGTCGTCCCCGAGATGATTGGTAGTGTCATTGGCATCTACTCCGGCAAGGAGTTCAACCAGGTTGAGATCAAGCCTGAGATGGTTGGTCACTACCTGGCTGAGTTCTCTATCTCATAGTACGTTTTCCACCGTCTACCACTAACGCAAGGAAATGTCACTGACCCTCCTCCTAGCAAGCCTGTCAAGCACGGTAGGCCCGGTATTGGTGCCACGCACTCTTCTCGATTCATTCCCCTCAAGTAAGAAGGTTGCGGTCTCGGGTGGTTTCTGCATTCATGGACATTTTGGGCGAAAAGGACTGGTTCTGGTAGATGGGCAAAGCATCTATCAAAAACACTGATGACAATGGGTACCATGATTAGTACAATAAAGGAGCATTGTCCGCTTGATGACTACCCTCGACTACCGCTGATGCTTGATAATTGTGACGATGCTTATAGAAACTCATGGTCAACACACACCTCCCCCTCATAACCTACCTAACACGCTGAAATAAAAAGTCTTGGTCTCCTCAAATCCTCTGAGACATGATCTTATTTTGATGACCTTGATATCTTGCGTGGGTCAACCTTTGCAATAAATCGTTTGAACCCCACTGCCAATTCCTTCGTGTTTTTGCGTTTCCACCTCTTCCATATAGGTTTTCCAGTGTCGCAAAGTGGACAGTCGAAGTTCAATCGGGACTTGCCGTAGTGAATGAATATCTCCTCATCTGCCCTGACATTCTTTTGAAGTCGTACTGTAATTTCGTGGGGATTCTTTGCTTCAACCAGGAATATTGCCTGTGCACAGTCTGGGCAAGCATGGTTGATGTGGGAAGCCAAACCATAGATAAGAGCCCTGGTACCCATGGGGTCCTGAAAGGCGTAGTTCCGTTTGAACTTGCGGAGGCGTCTTTTTTGTATTATGTTCAAGTTGCGACGTGTCGGCATATTTCTCAAGGGAGCAAAAGTCCTTGTAAGCTCTTCACGTTGATCCACATCCATATCATTCTATGTTGTTAAAATTGGTTCGGAGAAGGAGGCATCAAATATTGGTTGCTCTGCACGGATGATCTGGTGGTTATGGGGAAGATCACGAAAGGCAAAGACTCCACGCTTGCGTTTGTTGGTTCCTGTCTGGCGAATTTTGATGTTGATTTCGCCCCCCGCATCATGAGGACTCGTTGCCGGAGGTTGTATTGGTGGGGGGTTTTCACTTTGATCTTCTGGACCATCTGATGGTTGGAGTGTCGCATTGGAATCTTATACTGACTTTTAGCGTGAGAAACTGGACGGGGACTCCAATTGAGGGAATTGTAGAAGGATTGCCAGAAAAGCAGAAAAATATCCCGATAGGATAACTTTATCCCAAGAAAACGATATCTCTATTCCATGCTTTTTCTTGAAACTCTGAGTTTCTGCCAAGGGGGCTGTGATACTGACAGAGAATAGTAGTGCACTGAAAGTGAATCGGGATGTGTACGGAGTTTCACAGCATCATACCTGAGGCCTTTCCAGGCGGGCTTTTCTCCTCTTTAGTCGATACAGGAACCTCCCGTGAGTTTGATGATGAGTTGACAGAGCCTGTGTCTTCGGGGGCTTGTTCACCGGCACGTGGTCGCGGAGCCATGCGTTCTGGCTTTGGTGTGAGCATCGTATCACAAATTGTTGGTTTTGTTCTTACCACTATCACTCCAGCCGCTCTGGTTGGCCGCCATGTTGCTAGTTCACTATTTAAATAAACGTTGAACTTGAAAAAGACTGCTTGGATCCAAGACGAAAGATGAAGGCGGTTGATGTTGATGAATTGTTGTGGAGAGTATGGAAGAAGAGAGATGGCAAACATAGCTCGAGTTCTCTTGATGAATGGATAATGCACCACCTCGGGTAGGTGGGTAGTCGGGAAGGTTCAAGCGCTTTCAAAGGGTAAGTGCTTTGAGGGAATAGTGTTAATATGGAAGCAAGTCAAGAAGGGCATTTAGCGAGCAAACGAGGGAAACTCGCTTGGGTGGGAAGGACCAGATTCACGAAACTGTGTTTGATAACTCAATGGAAAAAATGAATTCATAGGTAGGTCCGATTCGTGGCTAGTTTACAACCCTATTCCTCCTTCTGGGCCAGCTTGGCCGCTTTCCGCTCCTCCTCCTTAATGTGCTTTTGTCGATAGTGCTCAACAACGTAGTCCATGTTGGCCAGGTGGCCCGCGACATTGTTTCGGGGAGCATACGAAGTCATGGCCCTGGTTCTCTGATTAGTAATCGTTCTTGCGGGAGTTACTTTCCGTCACTGGAGGAAAGGTGTAGTAGCCTCCATCGATTGACGGCAAGTGGTATGCAGGTGGACGAACTCGGGGTAGGCAACATCAACAAATCGGTGCTTGTTACCGCCGTTTTCAAACAGGTTTCGGTCATAGCCAGCCTGCTCCATGGCCTTTGTGTGAAGCGCATTGATATCCTCCCAGTCCTTTCCGCGGGAGGTGTATCTGTCGATGAGGCTGAGAATTGAAGACTGTTCGCCCTCCTTGGGAACGAATTGGTAGACGAGAACGGAGCCGAAGAAACCGCCGACAGCGAGGAGAGAACCGGTCTGAGGACAATAGTCAGTATACCATCTCCAATTGAAGCCATTCAAGCGCCTTGATGGCCGGCGTAGGCTCCATGATGCAAGCCAGTGTGACTTAACGTACGCTGAACGACTCGTTGACTTCTGGGGCCTTGTGATGGGCATGGGCGTCGGAGGCGTAGGTTCGCGCTGTCCTTTGCAGCTGGCGAGCCACGCCGGCTACCCTCTGTCGTGCGACGAACATGTTGGGCGGGTTGGGCAGCGTTCAATTGAGCGATTGATCGTGAGGCTCTCGTGGGAAGAAGCCGCACCAAGATCAACCAAGTGAGGTTGTCGCCGGTCCGAGGGTGTTTACGTAAGGCACTTTAAATGGGTGGCCAATTGGATTGTAGATGTTTACCATTTGTTACTCCACTGCTCTTTGAGCATGACATGGGGTCAGAATCAACAGAACTTGCAACTTTCTTATATATATACAAGTCGATACTTCTTATAAAGAGCTTAGCGGGCAGACTGTTATTCAGTGGCTTCTTGAGATTTCTCATGAGCTTGTACTTAATCAACAGCGATATGAATGTCTGCTTTCTGAGGCCATTAGGTACGTAGCTACCTCAATTGAGAGCATGGTGGATTACAGTCTCTGAAGCTCCAGAGACCGCGAATAGGAACGACAAGTTAAAGATTCTATCAGCCCCGACACTTCTGCATTGATATATGACTTATAGCTCAAAAATCCAAGGTCTATGCCTCATCTATCATTGTAAGCGACCAGAGCTGATTATTCGACTTGCGCTGCAATCTCTCAACTCGAACATCACCTACCCGGGAGCTATAGCAGTTTCACATAACTTAACCTTTTGCGATAATACGCGTCAATCAGCGCATTATTAGTGACATGAGATCCTGACCGTCTCTTGTTATCTCTTGAGGGCTCGTCGGCCTTGCTCGAAACTTATCATACTACTTGGTAGTCAAGCGGCTGTCACGCAATTGACGGATGGTTGTTGGGTATTTGTTCCGTCTCAGGCTTGAATGAGATAAAATGAAATAAAATTTAGTCGATAACTAAAAACACTGAAGCTGCCAACCTTGATTTCATTTTCCCTGCATATCTAGCTATGAACCATAAGCAAGATCATATAGCCAGCCCTGCTCTTTCGGGGTTAGAATGGCTACGATCTAGCTTTCTACACTCCCTAACTCCCAAAGTGGAACACAGCAGCAGTAGCTTCTTCGATACCACGAAATCATCACAAGAGCATTGAACACAGCTTTGATCAAAGCCTGGTAGCCTGGAAGAGAAAATCCAAAACCTGTTCATCAGAAGTGGCTGGAGCTACCACAAGGTTTAGCAAGATCGACGTGGCTAGCCCCAAAGTGTGTGTTGCGCCTCTTACGGCGTTCTCTAATACTTAGACAGTGACAACATGAAGCGCATCTAGCCTTTCAAGTTAAAATTTCCGGCATGGCGCTGCCGTAGTCTTGTTTATGGAATAGAAAGTTCAACGCTGACAACTCTGACGACGAACTCACAGTAATCAACCTCGAAGAATGAGCTTCTCCCACACCAAACAATAACTGCCGTTGGAAAGCCTCTCACGAATTAGCACCGTCAGGCCAACTCGACGTTACCATGAGTTGTAAGTCAATGGATTGAATGGAGCCAGCGAAGCGGTCATGAACGTTCTCAAAGATCCTGGCGGTTGATATGGAAATTCTGGCTCATCCAATTCGTCCATAGCAAGCTCATATGGCCACTCAACAGTCTCCGGGGAGACCAATTGGGACAAAAGTCAATGAAGATGGCTGGTCTAGAATATGACGGAAGAGGTGCAATGCATATGCGGCGCCTCGATCAAGATGACACTCCAGTGCTTTGGCTTCATGCAGGACCAAGTCATGGTTCTGAGTGACTATCGTAATGATAAGACTTAATGCAGTTAATGCTTTTCCTGATGACGGAAGACGGAGCCTTTGAAGACGAATACTGGCTGATACTCAAGATCTTGATAAAGTGGGCATCAGGTAAATGCATCAGCTGAGAGCCACGTTCTTTTGTGAAACCTGATCGAGATTGTTATTGCATGATGGGCGGAGATATTGGGCCGGTGATTTACGTTGGAACGAAATCCATGGAAGCAATGGAAAATGCTGGTTGTTTGTTGGGATGTTGACTTATACAAGTACCATATGTACCAACCTGTAGGCGGACGATTTCCCCCTGTCTCACAGATTCTACATCATCCCGTGTTTTTGACAGGCAGCAAGGGGCAAACATCTCGCAGCAAACCACAGGACGTGCCCTTTGTGAGGTATCGTTTTTGACGAAGCTACATGCACAGTATTATTCACGATACCATGATGAGCCATGACGTGAAGATAGTGATACAAGCTCCCCGGTCAGGTCATTCTTGATAAGAGATCATGAAATGCCATGTGATAGAAGGAAAAAAGGCACCCTGGTTATGCGTGAAAGAGGCAAAAGCCCATCTAGAATGCCAAGCTTGGGGTGCGCGCCAAGTTTAGTTACAATGGATCATACTTGGCCATACCTATCAGAGACCTTCCCCGCGAAAAAACCCCCCAGGAATGGAGTCAAGAGAGGGAAAAAGACAAGACAAGCCGAGACGCGTGTCGTCCTATCCAAAGCCGCAGACAAAACCGTGCCCTTTTTGCTTCTTGTCAGAAAGGCGAGAATACCCGCTGATGGGGGACATAGTTGCAATGAAGTGCCTCATTGTGATTGCATATCCTTGCAGTAGCTTCAGAGCCAAGGTTACCTCCGTATCGTCCCTTGCAACTTATTAGTCAAGGCTCTATTTGCCTTTGGATGTTCGCAGACGGTACAATGCGGGGAAAGCTCTTTTTACTGGTCACGGATGCATCGTTCCCTCTTGGTATTGGCAGAAGAAGGCACACGGCACACGCTTTCAGAAGAAACAAAAAGTCTGGGCTCTGAATGAGACCCTTTAACCTACCAATTCACAACCTCTGGGCTGACAATTTCTTGAGGCCAGACGATTAATGCTGAGCTGGCGCTGGCTCTTCAACACACACCCTTTCATCCTCCAACGGCCTTCCTTGTCTGTTACTAACAAGTGATTTGTACGTCCCCCAATTCTGTTCCGAGTATTCCCTTTGAGGAGATAAACAGTCATCTGATGGCGTTCTGTGGTCACACACATACTCCCTCCAATTTGCCTTCCCTCGCTGTCTCTCTAATTCATTCACACACATAACTCGCCCATCGGGTTGTCTGGATGTTTCCCTTTTCAGTTTTTGATCAAAACCTAACTCTATTATTCCGACGACTACTACCCTGCCTACGTGCGTCATGCAACTGTCACTCATGGTCCTTACACCCCGAGACTTCTAGTTGAATCTTACGGAAGATTTACGAAAGGTTAAAAAGGGTCCTAGAGCCCCCTGGAATCTTGCCCTGCTTCTCTGTTTGTTTGGTTAGATAAAAACAATCTTCGACACACCTTCTACCTATGCCTGAGATACGTCCAAGCCTCCTTCAACAATATAAACAACAATCGCAGCTGCGCCTCTGCGTGCTTACGTTGTCGATACACAACGAGGCCTCACCATATCTGTGTTACAGCTAAATAACCAGGCTTTTTACCGTTTCAAAAATTATTCTTTTAAGCTTCACGGCTATCTATCAATAACCTTTACTTCTGCACCTTGCCTCGACATCCCAACGCTTTTAAACATCATCCATCCCTCCGTCCCTTCCATCCATCCTTACATACCACACCAACAAATACAAGTACAACAGACCTGCATACTTCCACTACATATTACTCCATACTTCTCACTGCATATTCATTCATCGTACAACCACAACTTCATCAACATGTGCCATACCGTAATCGCCCAGCGGATATGCAAGAACTGCCGCCATAGCCTTGGTGAGACGGTTATCGACTTCACCCGCTGCGCTCGTAAATGCTCGAGCCCGTTCTACTGCCTTACCCCTGAGCCTCAGATGGAGCTATGTAACCTATGTACCGCGACGGCGACACTATCTACACCGGTACTCGCACAACATGCTCTAGAGGATACCACCACTGCAGCTGCAGCCGCTGTGGCTGCGGCATCGGCTGGTGCAAGGCTCTACGATCATTCTATCGCAAAGGCAGCGACATATCCGGGACCTGGGGTAGTCCGTCACACTGCGGCTCATTAAGACATTTCCCATAAACCACCTCGATGGTGGCTTTTGCTACGATATCGATATCTAGGGCGTTTATTTATGTAAGATCTTCAGGGAAATTGAAACGACGAAACGAAATCCAACAAAAACAGTGCATTTGGGAATGGATATGGGTACGACTCGGGCACCCGGCACAGGATCACAGGCGCATGAGGACGGACAGCATTCATCAATGCTCTACTTGCTTCACATCACATCATTTCATTTTCTTCTACACACTTGATTTCGTATGTAGTGTCACATAGACACAAAACCCCGGTGAGGACCACTCTACTGGTATGAGATGGAACCGGAGGACTGGTCGATGGTACCGAACCAAGAGCTGGGGCAAGGGTATACAGAAGAATCAGAATCACAATCGTTGACCGACAGCAATAAGCTGAGTAAGATAAATAGCCAAAAGACAATAAAAACTTGATCAGGATGGAAAATATTGTATTGTCCAGTCTAATCCCTCATCTCGAATTCGAGTTCGGTCGGCTATGGCTCAACGCCATCAAGCCCCTGTTCTGCGGGCGAGCGGGCGGGTGTCCGGCTCCTGTTCCGTCCCACTATTAGACCACCTATCGAGTTTGAGATAAGGTAAGGTACGGGCAGCAAATGTGAGACTATTGAATGGACCTCTCAGGACTTCTTAAAAGGTTGGTTCCAGCCTCAGGTTCAATTTACCCGGGTACAAAGTCAGTCAGTTGACTTCCCATTCGCGCAAGCTCAGCTCTCTTGGGTGCAAGAAGTGCAAATGAATGCATGTGTACAGAGTATGTATGTCCTAAACATATCCTGAAACACTGAACCGATCAGCAACTGCACCTTCATCGAGATACACTAACAAAAGCGCATAGAACGACCCCTCAATCACAGACAATCACAATCACGCACGCACGCGGTCACATACAACACAAGCCGCCTGTTGCACCAAATAAACACAGTCGTCCTCATGACTCGAAAAGGTCGTCTGGCTGCAAGGGGAGGGTTACCTGAGTTCCTTCCCAGAGCTGTGAATTTCAAGTATTAAGGGGATATTACGCGTCGACACCTCGCCGACAAGTAGCTGCTACTGCCTATCCTGTCCGCATCGCGACGATTTGTTTGATCCAGTTGTTGGTAAGAAGGCAGTGGCCACCCGAGGCTGCG